ACAGGGAAAGCTGTTTATTTGAAGGGAGTATGCATATGGAGGGTGAAGTGTTGAAAATATTAATAACTATATCTGTTATTGTCTGATTTTTTCTTTCTTTTTTCGTTTTTTTTCGTCCATCCGATGCCAGCCACACAATCCATGTGTGAAAGTCCGAGTTAGCATGTTATAGGTTGTCTTAGTAGAATAGCCAATCCAGTATAAAATTGGAAACATGAGTCTGAGTGGTGAGCGTAGGAAGACAATCTATATCACAGATTGATTGACTTATGCTCAATCATAGAGAGCCTGATACATACAAAATGTTCTGCCCCACAAACACGGGTGGATTGAAGTCATCGCCCTCACCATCAATGCTTGCTGGTCAGTAACTCCACCCTCCCTCCTTTTGTGATGTTAGGCTCATTTAAGCTTATTTTTGGATATACATCATACCTCACACAATCCTCTGTTTCACAATCTGTTGGAAAACACTATTTCTATAAGTACCATTTTACAAGCTTATCAGGCAGTTACAAATTATGAACTGTGGGTAAGGCATCGATGTTGTGCTTTAATTGATTATAGTATAAAATATAGTTTGCCCACTAAAGTATAAGCATTAAGAGGGGTGTAATGTAGGATAGTAGTTTAATAAAGCAAGCGGAAAAGTATATGGGCTGTAGATAAGGTAACGAGTGGAGAAATAATATTAATTGCTAGTCAACATGGTGTGCAGAAGAGTAAAAAGCAAATAAGCAATAAACAAGGAGAGACTCACACTAACTTGGTACTGATGTTCTTTTGTGTTATCCTAACCAGTTGATGGGTAACAGGCTCCATAGATGCAGTTCGATCGATAGTAGGCAGTCGATTGCGCGGTTCTCTTGAGTTTTTAGGGTGGTAGTGAGTGTCTCTTAGCGACCGAGTTCAGTTGAACAGTATCAGTAGGTCCAGTGAGTTACCTGTCTACTTTAAGTAAAGAAATAGAGTGGGAAAAGTAACTAAACTGCAAAGTAGGAAAAATAAGGCAAACTGAACTTGGAGCCCATTTTGGTTTAGACATGTAGAGAGCCTATGATATCTGAGTGGGGCGCAGATTTGTTCGTACGTGCTAGATAAGTGCAAATGAGGGCTTGATCAAGCAGTCTTACAAACTTATGTAATTCATCTGCCATGCGTATTTCGGAGGGGAGACTGTTCCAAATTATTGCATACCTGATGAGGAAGAAGTTTTCCCGAGTTTTTGATTTGTATTTCTCAACTTTGACTGTAGATACTTTGTTTCGAAGTACATATTCATGTGAATTTCGGGCAAAAACTATATTACATGTCGAATAAGTAAGGTTTTTGAGTAGTTTGAAGTAGAGAATCAAATTAGACCTAAGCCTTCTCTTCCAAAGGAGTGCTATTCTTAGGATTTGGCATCGGGAACTGTAGTCAACGACTGATTCAGTCTTAAGTATTTTGCGGGTGAAGTCTCGTTGTATTCCTTCCACCTTCAGTATATCAGATAGGCGTAGGTTGGAAAAGAAGAACAAGCAGTATTCAACAATAGGTATTACACAAACTTTATAAAGAAGGATTTTGGATTCATTTTGATAGAAATTACGGAGAATGAAGCCAAGCAATTTCCGCATTTTAGATACTTTGGCTGAGATGTGTTCAGAGAAATTAAGACGTTGTGATTAGTGTACCCCTAGGTCAGTTACTGATGCCAGTCTGGACAGTGTGTTGTTGTTAATTGTTAGTTTTATTTTGAGAGATGTGTCTCCTATACATAACCCTGCACAACACCACTGGATATTGGTCGAGGTGTAGATGTTGTAGAGTCAATCTTGGTTATTTGGTATCTGTTCGTAAGAAAAGACTTGATCTATTGCAAAAGGGGATTTATAATTCCAACTGACTTAAGTCTGTTGATTAGAAGATTATGAGTTACTTTATCAAAAGCTTTCTTAATATCGAAATATAGTATAACCACCAGTTTCTTTTGATCACGTATGCGAGTAACCTCGTTAAAGAAGTCTATCAGACATGTACTGCACGACCTTGTTCTAATGAAGCCGTGTTGTGACGGGTCTATTAGATTTTCCTTAAGTAGGTGATCAGATAGTTGATTTTTTATCACTTTTTCCATTATGCGTGATATAACTGGAGTGATATTTATAGGTCTGTAGTTTTCGACCAGGTTTCTCGGTCCGGATTTATGTTTTGGAAGAACATACGTTACCTTCCAGGTTTCCGGATATGTACCTGTCTCTACGGATAATGTGTATATTTTGAGTAATAGCGTCTGTATGTCCAAACCTGACATTTTATAAAGGATTGAGGGGATGTCATCGGCACCAGAACTCACATTTGGCTTAAGGGTTTTAATGGCGGTATGTATACTCCTAATATCGAAGTTTATGGTACTAAGATAATTTTTGCAGGTGCACTTTGTGTTGATATCTGTGGCATGAGATGTATTCCCATTGTGGGAAAACCATTCACTTAATAGTTCACATATGATGGTTTGGTCATTATATGTCACTCCATCGTGCAGTAGGGAGTGAATGTTGTGACCTTCGTTCTTTCTTATGCGTTTTGCGAGGAGACGGCATAAGGCATGGGTTTTAGATGCAGCAATGAGCGCAGTATGTTCCTCTGCCTGTTTATGCTTGTTGTGTTGACTTTGTACTCCGTCAAGTACAGAGTATATCTGGTGCATGGCATTGAAGTCTCTTGATATATAGTACGTCCTTTTCAGTTTACGCAGTTTAGACCTAGTCTTTTGGTTTATGTAGGGAGTAACTGTCTTAAAAGCAATTTTAAAGGGTATAGTAGTGTCTGGTGCAGATTTGATGGTGGTGTGGAATATTTCTAATGTTTCTAAGAGGTTATCACTGGTAAAGAAACTGCTCCAGTCAGAGTGCTTTATTAGAAATTGAAAGTTTTCCCAGTCAGCGTTTGCATAGTCTCTATATTGGAAACGTGTATTTAATGTCTTTAGTTTGTTGCACATGGCAAGAATCGGAAGGGTGCAAAGGACTATTTTATGATCGCTGTTGTGAAACTTTTCGCCAACCACTACTGATGTTGGTGTGACATTATGACAGAATATCAAGTCAAGAATGTTGTGAGCTTAAGATTGCAGAAGCCTTACAGCTTAAACTCATTATAGGTTTCTGGAATACTGCCTTCGTTGTTTGGCGATGGGACTCAAAAACTGTAAATTAAACAGACAGCGGTTGCAAGAAAAGATATTAGGGTATCGCCCATAGTTTGGAATAGAGTCGGACATTGAAAGAAGAAACAAGATTAAGGACTAGATCATGATAGCCATTCCTTGCTTAAATTGCTAGCTGACGTGTGCAAACGTCCATTACGAGCCATATTTGATAGAGTTTGGTGTCTAAACAATTATAATTCTATGAAGCATGCAAATGTTAATAAAGCTTGTCAATATGTAGTGACATTGGGCCCTAAACACAGATTCCTCAATGCTGAACACGAGACAACCAGGGAAATATATTTAATTCTTAACTCAGAAAAAACCCCACTTATGGAGGAGGGAAGGATTAATTCAATGAATTCAAATTCATTGAACGACATGGCTCGGCCTCGCAGGCGTAGTCATACTCATGCAATGTTATTATTATTCGTATTAAATCTATCATATGTTCTCCATCATATGTTGGTGAGTGTTAGATACGATGAGTCAGTGTAGACGATGATGTAACTTCCATGTAATATTTTACGGACCAAGGAGTCACATCATAACGAATCTATAATTTTAGGATTAGGTCTATTGTTAGAGCAGTACTAATAAAGAAGTAGACTGCTACTATAAAATGCACCATCATAGCTAACCATAAATATGTATGGTTGGTTATTGGTATCGATCGAGCTAGTGTTCTATGAGCACTAATTAATATCATAACACAACACACTTCAGTACTAATCAACAGACTATTAGAAAAATGGATAAACACAAGTGAAAATGAGGAATAAAAAAGGGGCTTCATTTCTTTAGTCGCTCTCACCAATGTTGTATTGTTCATATTCGTCTAATTCACCTTCTCTACATGTTAAATGTTGAGCAGTCTTCAAACTCATAGCAAAGCTAGTTCGTTAGCCTAATTTGAATAAAGACGAAGGGAAACAGGCACGCCTCTCCAAAAGTCTGAAGTAATTAGACAAAAATTGTCGCTTATGCCTTTTTGTAACTCTCAACGCTTGCTTTGACGATGTTCATCTTAGTTTAGTAGGACCTATACCAGATGCACGTGTAGACAGCTTCGCATGATGACCAAGAACAGTACCTATCGAGGACTCTACTAATAAAGCATTGGCTCACATCTTCGTCGAACCTCAGGTGCCCTTCAAATATTACTACAGACTGTGGACGCTAGTTCGAATCTGGACTTTTCCGTTGTCTTAATACACTACTAGGAATTCCACTTTAAAATGAACGTCTATTACTTAGAAGCTATCGAGTCGGTAGAACGATTTCATTGGCGTGTGAAGGCTTCAGTTTCAACTGCAAATGTATCACAATGAACTCACATTATTCCACTCATGTTACTAGAAATACAAATAAAAGTGATAATTGTTGTTGGATACACTACGGCACAACTCGTTCGCGGAACGACACTTCAATTCACAGGCGAATTTGTAAAATCCTTCATTTTCTTCAATGAATCCGAATCTGGACTCATACATTAACAATCGAAGAGACGTCATGCATTCAGTTAGACCCATTTCCACGCATCTCATTTTTTGATCCCTTCAGAACTGAAAAAAATACTATATGAACGGTCTTTCTGTGTCTAAGTATAATATACTACTTCTAAGGTACAGACCCAAGGGGGCAATTAATTCCTTAGTTCTAACCAATAAATTTCGAAATATCAGATACTAGATACTAATAAAATTTACCGGGGATTAATGCATTTGTTTACACAATTTTCATCTGCGAAATCATCCAATACTTGAATCAGTTTCTTAACATAATGAGATTCGCACATATATATAAAATGATTTGCTCTAGTTCTAAACAACGTTATTTATTGTATATTGGACAAAGGGTATAATGAAAAAGGGAGGAAGTCTAACTCTCGCGCTACAGGAAATGTAAACTAGTCTTTATTTTATCGTTTCAGACATTTCCTCTGATTTGCACATCTTTCGTTATCCTTATTGTAAATAGTATTTCTATTTCACATAGTAAGTTTCGGTTTTTTCTTCTTCACCTTTGAAAAACCTAGTTCTAGTCTAGAATTCTTAAATTATACTTAAGCTTACCAATTGGTACAAATAGAGTTTACAGCCAATTATGTCATGCCTTTCAGAAAACGGAAAGATCATTTGTTTGTGAAACATTTCATAGGAAAAACTAGTGCAACTATAATTGGTCAACAATTTAACAGATGAGGAACCTTTGTTTATGATTTGTTAGAGTTTTGATCACGAACTGACATCAGCTCTAACTCAGAAATAGATTTAATAGCGAAATCTGATCATTACTACTATATACTTTGCTGTGTCTATTTTGCTTTTAAAAGGGATTGTAACGTGGTATTTTATTCGTTCTCAACCTTTCTGCTAGCCTTTTGTATCCTCTGATATGTCCTGATCTAGTGGAGAGAAGGGAGTATATATTTAATACAAAATCACTTCTTAATATTTTATATGTCAAATATAAATCACCTTAATTTGCGATAGGACAAAGTTGAGAGGTCTAGTTTTTCAGGCCGTTCTTTGTATGGTAAAACCTGGAGTTCTGGGATCCCGTTGATAGCTACCCTCTATACTTTTTCCAAGATATCCGAGTCTTTTTTTAAAGATGCTTGCAGCCTGAATACAGTTTTCAAGCTTAGTTTTCTTTAAGGTTGTGTATACTGTAGTGTACATGGTAATACCTAACTTTTTGTGACTGCAGTAATATCGTATGATTGGTTCTTATTGAAATATACATTTTGATTATTCTTGTATATAATTATCGAATTGGATCGCGTTAGTAAATAACGGAATTAGGTAGGCCAAACACTAAATTGGGTTTTCGTATACATATATTTTGTACAATAGTTGATCGGAACAGATAGAGACGTAGCGAAAAAAGCGAAGGAGAGTGAAACGAGATGGAAACATGTGAGCCAACTCCATTTAGTCAATCGTTAATCAATATTTATAGTCACACAAAAATAAGCTACAGACATGTGATGAGTAGAATAAGATATACACACATATGCTCATATAAACAGTCAAGGTTGATAAGTGAATAATTAACAAGGTCAAAACGTGACTCAAGAAGAATTGATAAATTGGACTGTCCAGAAGCTAGGATAAGTTATGTGGGCTTAACATAGTAACTGACACCACAAACTTGGTGAATGTCCGTCTTAAAGCCCATTGGGTTCTAAACCCCTTATCTGCAACCTGCCGGCAGTGAGCAGTGGTCTTAAGATCATGACTCACTGTCGCCCCAAAATCCTTGTGAGACTGGACCACGGGTACAGGCACATCCCCTGTGCTGTACCTATTTACCTTCGTACCCTCAAAGTGCATGTAGGCACACTTTGCTGCGTTGATAGGCATCAGCCACTCTTTAGACCAGCTAATCACAATATTTAAGTCTGCCTGAAGTGCGCATGCATCTGCGCCTCCTGTTGTTTCTCACCAGGCTTTTATATCAGCGTATAGTAACATTAGGGACTCAACTATACTTGGGAGTTTATTTACATATAGTATAAAAAGTAAAGGACCTAGAACAGAATTTTGCAGTACTCCACAAAGTACTGGTCTCCAGGTGGATCACTTGGAATTTACTTTTACTCTCTGTCTACGACCTACCAGGAAATCCTTAAGCCATTATAGGAGAGGTCTGGCAATGCCTAGATCTCCCAACTTCAAGAGCAGTCTTTACTGGCACCTTGTCAAATGGTTTGCCGAAGTCTGTGTAGGCAACATCCACTGATTTCCCATTGTCTAGAGCCTCTATCCCTGCTATGAGGAGGTTTGCTGTACAAGACAAACCTTTTTTGAAACCATTCTGTGCGCTGTTTAACAAGTTGCTGGTTTTCACTAATGTGACTATGGTCTTTTTGACTATTCTGTTCAGTATTTTAACTACGACAGTGGTAAGGCTGACAAGTCTAATTTGGAAGTTGTCTTGGTCCTGTTTTATGTATGGGAGTGATGATTACATCCTCCCAGTCCGTAGAAAACGCACCTTGGCTAAGTGACATATTGAATATCACAGTCAGTGGGGCTGCAATATATTGTACAGTTTGTCTCAGGTTTTTGGGTGTAGTTCATCCGGTTCTGTCGACTTTTACGTATCTAAAGTGCTAAGAGCCTTAAGTACATCGTCTCGATCAAAGTTCACGGTGAGCAGACGGTTTGTTGACTTTGTGTTTGGGTCCTCAAATGCCATGGTACTGTCGAGGATGGGGAGAGTTCGTTGTCCCTCTCGAAATGCTCTCACATGACCAAGTGCATATAACCACTACCAGGAAAGTCCTAATCACTGCCTTCTCGCGGCATTACTGTTGTTTAAGAAATTGAGAAGACGGAAAGCGAATGTCCGGCACCTTAACCGGGTTGGTGGATATGGAGAGTCCACCTAGGGGAGTTGGCAAAGCATCGTTTCAAACCAATGATGTACATGGGCTTTAGGATACTCAGGGAACAAATGGCGTATGAACTAATTATTGGTCACCGGCTACCATGCGGCCGCATCTCCTTATGTTGATCCACTGTCTTGTGGATCAGGCCTTTAAGTCAACGGCTCCGGGTGTGGCCCCCTAAGAAAACCACATGCTGCGGTTTGGGCACCTGGGCAGTATCATAATCCACACCCGAATCAGATAACTTGTGTGGCGCATATGTATTCGATACCCCTTTGTACCAATATTTATGTGTTCAAATAAATTTTTGTTTGGGTCTAGTTCTTTGCCTAGAGGAGGCTCCTGAGTGAAAACATCCACGAAATAGTTCGCCATTGCCTCTGGTTTCTTTTATCACCGTCTATCATTTTAGATCGACTCTCTTCTGTAATTAGGTTGGGAATCCAATACTTTGTATTTGTTCTATAGTTTATGTACGAGAACAGATTCTTAGGCTGCTTGATTACAGACTAGGCTAACTGCATTTCATATTTTCTCTGAGCTTCCCGGATTTTAATTATACACTTATTTCTTACCGACCTGTAGTGTTGCATCATACTTGCTGTATCAAAGCTGATGGCATTGTTCCAACATCTCTTCTTTTGTCCTAGTAAACGCTGAATATCCCGGACTGTCCAGGGGGCCACACCCCGAGCCTTTGACCTAGAGGTCTAGTCCACAAGGCAGTGGAGCATCGTGAGGAGATGCAGTCCCATGGAAGCCGGTGACCAAGAAATTGGCTCATACGCCATTTGTTCCTTCAGGATACTGGAGCCCATGTGCATCATTGATTTTGGATCCGGTTAAAGCTCCGTACATTCGCTTTTCCTCCTCTTATTTTCGTAAACAACACCCCCACCACTTGAAGGCAGTGAGTAGGAGTTCCCTGGCAGAGGCTGTATACGCGTGGCCGTGTGAGTATTTCGAGAGGGAGGGCGAACCCACCCCACTCTCGACCATACCAGGGCGTTTGGGGGTTTCAGCCGATGCTACAGAGTTGATCGCCTTCATGCCTGCCTTCCATATGTTAAGACGAACCGGCTGACTGGCCTGTCAGCGAAGTCCGTTTTAACATGTTGTGGGATTTTAATTTCTGAAATCTCTCTGGCGTCAAATGCAGAGGTCTCACTCTGTTTCCGTACTTTTCATTTTCTGGGTGTGACTGTAAGCCAATCGTTAACCTTACTCTGTCTCTTGAACACATAATCTACACCGCTCAAACCTAGCTCCCAACTAGCTTTATAGCTGCCCTGGTATGGCCGAGAGTGAGGCGGACCCGCCCACCCGCTCGAAATACCACACGGCCACGCGTATACAGCCTCTGTCAGGGAACTCCTACTCACTGCCTTCAAGTGGCGGGGGTGTTGTTTACGAAAATGAGAGGACGAAAAGCGAATGTACGGAGCTTTAACTGGATCCAAAACCAATGGTGCACATGGGCTCCATTATCCTGCGGGAACAAATGGCGTATGAACCAATCGTTGGTCACCGGCTATCATGGGACTGCATCTCCTTACGATGCTCCACTGCCTTGTGAGTTAGACCTTTAGGTCGAAGGCTCTGGGTGTGGCCCCCTAAGAAAACCTTCTGCTTCGGTCTGGGCACCTGAGCAGTATCACAGCCTACACATAAGTAAAATTTTTTGTGGCGCATATATATTTGGTGTTCTCTTGTACCAATATTTATGTGTTCAAATAAATAAATAAATAAGAATTTATGGACGAACCAATCAAACATAAGATCATAGGTTTTGGATTTTGGCGCGAAATCCATTTATCCATTTGGTTAAAAAGTGTTTTGGCATTTTAGTTAATGTCAGTTCGTGACGAAAACTCTAAATATAATTCCTAACCCTAACCATCAACTGCAAATCATAATTTTATATATTTATTTATTTATGGCTTTGTTCAACATTATATTTTGGTACAATATAGAATTCTCAGCACGAAAATTCGTGCCTCTCCACGAAAATTTTTAGTAAAAGGCGAAAGATTTATCCGCAATTGAGGAGACACACTGCTTTATAACCCTCATTTTTGGGTTAGTAAGTAGGTGGACACTCAAGGTTACTTTAGCGTCGCTTAAACGTCAATAAATTATAGCCTCATCACAGGAAAAAACTAATCATATGAAAATGTTGTTTACGTACTGAGACAAAATTGAACATCACCGCTTTCAAATTCAACTCACTACCTTTCGCTTCCCTTCATTTGAATTTATCTTCAGAGTTGAGATGGAAACAGTCTTCCGCTACGGAGAAAAACCGATCGAGTTTCAGCTGGAGTCTGATGGTGAATACTTTTACTTAGCATCAGAAGTGAGTCATGTTTTTAATTCTGGGTTGCCGTAAGTGTAAAGTTAGTTCAGTACTCGTTCTTATGTACTCTTAGAAAGTAATGTGGAAGATGCGTGACAACAGTTCGCCATCTCAGTCGATTATTCTAGAACATTAGTAACTGTAATGGGGTACAGAAACTAGTGACTCGTTATTACAGAACCTCAGGGAAATTACTAACAAATTAAATAACACTTCTGTATCTCATATGGTTTATCTTTGTCTGTACATTTATCTTCAAATATCACATACTACAAGAAGTTTATGTTGTTTGATTACCAATCCTTTTGGTTTACCAACTTCGTCTTTTGAAACCATGTAGCGAAGAACTTCAGGCTAACGCCTAGAATAATGCGTAAGTGATAGAAATGTATTTTAAACACTTCAATTTCAACCACCGTGTTACCTACTCAAATCCCCATTAACTACTACTGTTTGGAAATTGTATAATATTTCTTGTCATCATAGATTAAATGTCAATGAATATACTACTTACTCGTCTATTTTATTACTAAGTAGGATAAAGGCTTTTAATGTTGATAGCAACAAACCGTTAAATGAAGTAGTCAGCTATTAATTTACATAGGTAACGTTTTATGTATCATCTGTCTGTTTCCGAGAGTAACGCTAGGCGAGTTGGGAGAAAAGTTCAAAATAATTCCCTGTGTAAATAAATATTTGACAGCAATTAATCATGAAATCTTCGAATTTAGCCCTCAAGATGAAAATTTATGTTGGTTGGGATAATCTCTATCAGCAAAATCCACCAGTTTTATCCATCTATTGACTTAAAAAAAAACAAGCGACAGAGAAGCCCCGTTTTCGAGGAAGGAACATCAATTTTTGCTTAGTTAAAAAATGGTATTGTGATTAACAAATACATCTTACTTTTTCAGCACCATCCCTCTTTTGGTTAGAAATAACTTCATTAACAAATTTATCACTTTCTTACCGATTAGATCTTGATTGCACACTTAATTAAAAAACACGATGTAGGTGTGTTGAAAATTATCAGCAAAGTGAAATTCAGAAACCATGTTTACGGCCGTGTGTTTACCCTTGAGTTGTACATATTCTTTCTAGATTAACACCTTTATCTGACTCCTGTATTATTGATAGATTGAACAGATTTTCGCTACATTCATTGTTGAAAGTCGAATACATAAACCACTAAATTGAGGCTTTGTATTGTAGTGAACAAGAGCACCAATGGGGACAATCGAATGTATTTAGGCATATAATTACAGAGCATCTCAATAAAATCTGAGAACCATATATAGTAAATCGTTAATTTGCAAAATATCAACCCATCATATCAAACTTGACTGTTCCTGTTGCAAACATCAATCCATTGTCTCAGATTTCATTGTTCATGCGTTTTCATACCAATTGCGTTTCGTTCCCGTTCTTTCTCCATCGACCTTCTACTGAAATACATTCTATGCCTGACCACCGTCATATACTACTTGTGTGGATATAAGTAACCCACACCACAGTATTACAAGGAAATATACCTTCAGAGAGAAGAAATTTACCGTTAAATTATATTGTGAATTCATTTCAATCCTTCTTTATAGTTACAGTAGAAGTGATTCATCACTGTGTTATGAGATAAGTATTATCCAATAAAACATCTCAAACCTAAGAATTGTAGCAATAACAATAATAAAAACACTAATACAAGGAAAGTCTCATGTATATTTCAGTGATGTTACTCCTTATTAAAAACTAATTTTACAATCCATTTATCATCAGATTTTATTATGAAATTATAAAAAAAAGGTGACATTTTTATGGTTAACCTCGAAACATATGAACCTGAACGACTTTTAGTTCTATTTTGGGATATTTCTATATTGGTAGCTAGCGGTAGGTTACTTACTTACTTACTTACTTACGCCTGTTACTCCCAATGGAGCATAGGCCGCCGACCAGCATTCTCCAACCCACTCTGTCCTGGGCCTTCTTTTCTAGTTCCATCCAATTCTTGTTCATTTTTCTCATATCTATCTCCATTTCCCGGCGTAATGTATTCTTTGGTCTTCCTCTCCTCCTTCGACCTTGAGGATTCCATATGAGGGCTTGTCTTGTGACGCAGTTGGGTGTTTTCCTCAATGTGTGTCCTATCCACTTCCAGCGCTTCTTCCTGATTTCTTCCTCCACTGGGATCTGATTTGTTCTCTCCCACAGTAGGTTGTTGCTTATAGTGTCCGGCCAGCGGATCTGAAGTATTTTGCGTAGACAACTGTTAGTAAACACCTTTCCGGGGGCTACTGCCGGTCGCAAGCCCGGATAAAGGAGGAGGGTTGGGCATGGGGTTAGCGACCCCATCCCGTAGAAAACTAACTCGCTAAAAAAACGCTAACCAGAAAACGCTAGCGGTAGGTACTTATATGGAATTCGTTGCCTAAATATATCAATATTTTAATAAATTTTGATATTCTCCTTAAAATTTGAATCCACTTTTTATCATTCTAAACTTTACAATGTTATTCTTTTATCAAACTGTCAAATTATGCGTTAACTCTTATTAGTGAATAGATTTCAACATTTCCTGTTGTTAATTTTACTAAATTTTTATTATTATTTTATTTTAACACATAGGTATTGGTACAAGAAGGCACCAAATATATATGCGCCACACAGATCTCATTTGATATGTATAAGGGCTGTGATACTGCTCGGGTGCCCAAACCGAAGCAGGTGATTTTCTTAGGGGGCCACACCCAGAGCCTTCGACCTGAACGTCTGACCCACAACGCAGTGGAGCATCGTAAGGAGATGCAGTCCCATGGAGGCCAGTGACCAATGATTGATTCATACGCCATTTGTTCCCTCAGGCAGGATACTCGAGCCCTTGTGCACCATTGGTTTTGGATCCGGTTAAAGCGCCGGACATTCGCTTTTCGTCCTCTCATTTTCGTAAACAACACCCCCACCACTTGAAGGCAGTGAGTAGGACTTCCCTGACAGAGGCTGTATACGCATGGCCATGTGAGAGCATTTCGAGAGGGAGAGCGGACTCTCCTCACTCTCGGCCATACCAGGGCATTTGGGGGCAATTTTACTAAATAGAATAGATTAACCCACCGTGTTAGTAATAACATGTGGTAATCTTTACTCTCTTATTATTCAGATTGAACCTAATATGCTACTGTATGTTTTCATTCTAAAACTGTTTCATTTCTGTTTTTTTTTTGACACTAAATTTTAATAAACTCATGTATTGGTAGTTTCATGAATTCATAGTATCACTATTGATTATTTTACTTATTTAGGTAGGTCGATATTTGCGCTTATTTCGTAAAGAATTATTTAAAAAATATCCAAATTTATGGAAACGATTAGTTACTCCTGAGGAAAAAGAGAAACTAATTCAAATGGGTGAGTAAATATAATTTCTTCTAAAATTTTTCCTAATAAGTTTTTTGGATTAGGTTAGTATATGAATTTCATCAACTTATTTCAGCATTACAAATTTTAACCAAGGGAATCAAGGTCTGTATTTGATATATAGATAATGAAATATTAGGATAGTTGAACAAGAACTCAGATGTGTTAAGCAAGGATCGTTTATTAGCTTCAAAGTCATATCATCAGAACATCTCACAACAATATGAACATATTGTTTGAATTTTTCTAGTTTGTCATCAGATAATTTGTGCAACGAATGTACACAACACATCTGAGTTCTTGTTCAACTATCTCAGTATTTCATTGTCCATATATCAAATTCAGACCTTGATTTACCGGTCCGAAATTTGCGACGCTGTAAAAAGTTATTGATGTTTACACAAAAACCCATCTTGATGATCGTTTTAAAGTTATTGAAAATTCCTCACTATCTTGTTATTGCGTGAAATATTCACTAAACTTTAATTATTTTCTTTTCAAGATTCAGTTTTAAGTGTAGGATTATGAATGTTATAGTAAGTGGTTGTGATTCAAGTTTGCTTAAATGCTGATAAAGGAAGAGTATTATATGTTTTACTTAGAGTATATTGTATAGATGATACTTACTTACTTATTTACGCCTGTTACTCCTCGTGAACGAGCATAGGCCACTCACCAGCATTCTCCATCCAACCCTGTCCTGGGCAATCCTTGCCAGCTCTTCCCAGTTGTTATTCATCCTTTTTCATATCCACTTCTATTTCCCGACGTAGTGTGTTCTTTGGCCTTACTCTTTTCCGCTTCCCTTCAGGATTCCAAGTTAGCGCTTGTCTCGTGGTGCAGTTTGATGATTTGCGTAATGCTATGTCCTATCCATTTCCATCGTCTTTTCCTAATTGCCTCTTCAGCTGGAAGCTGGTTGGTTCTCTCCCACAGTGGGCTGTTGCTGATGGTATCCGGCCAATGGATGTTGAGTATCTTGTGTAGACAGCTATTGATAAATACCTGTATCTTCTTGATGGTGTTTGTTGTAGTTCTCCAAGTTTCATCTCCGTAAAGTAGAACTACCTTGACATTCATATTGAAGATTGTGACTTTGATATTGGTTGAAAGTTGTTTTGAGTTCCATATGTTCTTCAATTGAAGGAATGCGGCCCTTGCTTTGCCAATCCTCGCCTTTACGTCTGCATCTGAACCTCCTTGTTCATCGATGATGCTTCCCAGGCGGAGTTTGTATAGATGATGGTTGATAGTAATTCTCTATTATGTGGTAATAGTTTTTGTCTTTGTTTCGATATACTCTAAACCATTCACATGATGAAATAGACTATTCAACATTGTACAACTTCAAATAAGTGAGGCTAGTTGCTCAAAAACTGTAAAGACATTTAAATTGTAACCATTCATTCTTAGCAGTTGAAACGCTCATTTTCTAAGTCTTAGTTTATTATTTATTTATTTATTTTAGCACATAGATATTGGTACAAGAAGGCACCGAATATATATGCGCCACACAAATCTCATTTGATTTGTGAGAGGGCTGTGGTACTGCCCGGGTGCCCAAAGCGAAGCAGGTGGTTTTCTTAGGGGGCCACACCTCGAGCCTTCGACCTGAACGTCTAACCCACAAGGCAGTGGAGCATCGTGAGGAAATGCAGTCCCATGGTAGCCGGTGACCAACGATTGGTTCATACGCCATTTGTTTCCTCAGGATACTGGGGCCCATGTGCATCATTGGTTTGGGATCCGGTTAAAGCGCCGAACATTCGCTTTTCGTCCTCTCATTTTCGTAAACAACACCCCCGCCACTTGAAGGCAGTGAGTAGGACTTCCCTGACAGAGGCTGTATACGCGTGGCCATGTGAGAGTATTTCGAGAGGGAGAGAGGACTCTCCTCACTCTCGGCCATACCAGGGCATTTGGGGGCGTTTTCTAAGTAGTGAGTTATGTGATCAACCAAGTCCCATAAACTTGAAGTTGGGAGACTAAACATCAATTTAATCTTCATGTTGAAAGTTGTAACTCAAATTTGAGTACACAATAATTGTTTTGCATTAATTAATGTAAAATATAGTTCTCTTGAATTTTTTTAAATTTCAACTTATTTAACACAAAATAGGGTTGGCAACTCCTATAACTGCTACCAATGCTATGCTTTTACGCACATATGAGGTCAATGAAATCATTTGTGATCAAGATCGGTTAGCAGATTTAAAAAGTGGGGAGCTTATTACAAAAGATTGTTCATCAATCTCTAATAATTTAAATATGAGCTCCAGTAGTTTACGAAATTTCAACTCGAATGCAACTCCTAAATCGAACGTTGGTTTCGCATCTATCGGTCGAACAAGTCTTGGTTCAAGTGCTAATTCAGTGACGTCAGCAACGTTACCAGGTGTTATGAACACTTCCGGTGCCATTGATCATACAACTGCAAGTGGGAATTTTAAGTCAAGAAGAGATAGCAGGTGGCTTGGTGTTGGTTCAACTCCAAACACATCATTTCATTTGGACTCAGTTCCTTGTCCAACCCCTATCAGTCGATTGAGAACTGGTAAGTCATCTGTCTTCTTGATTATTAGTATTGTTTATGCTTTGTTTAATAAGATTACGGGTTCCCCTATATAGGCGAACAGAACGAAGGATCAGCGACACAATAACAAGACAAGCTAAACTATTCCGATGCATCCCGGCCCCGCTAACTATAGGGAGAAGACCTGGTTCAGATGAGGGAAAAGTATATTCCACAAACAGCCAAAAGCACGAATAACAACAAGCACATAACCCAAGCGTATATGTACGGCATAAAAATGTCCTTAAAATGCGTCACAAAATAGAATACTAAAAGAGGAAACGAACCAATTACATTTAGGGTCCCTTTGAGTGAGAAACGCAATCTGAAGGTGAAGGTGGGCGCTTTTGGCACGAAAACGAGAAACTCAAATTTCCAAGATAAAATTATAAAAATAAAATGTCTACCAAGCGATTTCTGGGGATCTATCATCCCCAACAGTTTGCGTTCAAAAACCTAAATTCCCTATTTTTGGTTTACATACTAACAAGTAGTTGAGTAGCAAGCTATTAAACCAATACATAAAGTCTACTTTTATTTATTTCGACATAAGCATAGGTACAAAAGGGCACCAAAATATGTATGTCACACAAAATTTGTGAGGACTGGGATAATGCCGGGGTCCCCAAACCGAAACAGCTGGCTTTATTAGAGAGCCATTCCCCGGACAGTGTAGCAGCGTTAGGAGATGCAGGCCAATGGTAGCCGGTGACCAACAATAGGTTCATACCATGGTGATTGGAGGTAATCAACAGGAAACCATGGATCTAGGCTTCGTGCTACTTGGCACTCGTCAGCAAGGTGTACCTGTAATCTTGACGGAACTAATGCTTCCTGACGGGTTCGATCCCGTGTCACCCAGCTTCACAGTCCTAGACGTTACCATTGCAACTTGGTCGATAGGATCCGATCAGCACTAAGAAGGACCTGACATACATGACATTGATCACCACTCAGTGATCAATCAACTGTAAATAGGTTCATACTGTTATAACGTGTGATCCGCCTATTAGAGAGCAGCCTATTATCGATCGAAACAGTGACGCATAAAACACGAGCGAGCAGCCTAGAGCTCTGACTGGTCCTGCTTCCCTGTCTAGCCCAGCCAATTGAGTCCAGAACACAAGTCTCAGCCTCGGAGATATGAATCGTTATATTTCAAACATACACTGTTTATATACCAAACAAACAGACTACATCGTGCCATAAATAGAAAGTAACATTTATACAAGATTTGACCTTCAGGAATTGACACAAATAAATATTGACCAATAAGGAGATGACACGTTGGAAGAATGTTTACCGATGGGGAAATGACACTACTTCTCATTCAGGAATAGCATTAGATAATTTCTGGGGTATTTTCTGAATACCCCAACACATACGCCATTTGCTCCCTGAGGGTCCTGAGGCCCATGTGCATCATTGGTTTGGAATGAGGGTTCTCCAACTCCTCTAGGTGAATCCTTCCTACCCACCAACCCAGTTGAAGCGCCGGACATTTGTTTTTCGTCCTATCAATTTCGTAAACAACATCGCTGTCGCGGGACCATCTGAGAGTATTTCGAGTGGGAGAGCGGACTATCTCCATCCTTGACCGTATTTGGGGGCAGAATTAAAAGCCGGCGATACACGGTATTCCCATTCATCCAGTATAGGGATACTATGTAAGATTCTCTATGATTATACTTGCCTGTCTGTGACTTTTAAAAATCTTAACAATACACCTTGTTTCTTTTTTTATTCCCATTTTCATATTGTAGCCAGACAGACAAGTAAATCATTTACATTTCCTTTTTGTTTGGATGACTCTGATCCGATCGCATTTCATGAGAATGCACGTCAACCGGAATGTTTAGTACCGATTCGTTTAGATATAGAATGTGATGGTGTTAAACTACGTGATTGTTTTACATGGAATCGTAATGAACAATTAATCACATTGGAACAAATGGCTGAAGTACTTTGTGATGATTTAGACTTAAATCCAATAAATTTTGTTCCAGCTATTGTGAATGCTATGAGACAACAGGTAAAAAATGTGTAATATTTTATAGTCATAAGGGAACTTATTATAGTGCAATATCTTGTGCTAAGAGTTCCTTACTGTAATCAAATAATATGGTTTTGATTGGTATGGATGTTTGGGGGAGATCTCTAGATCTTATATTTTACATCATAGTGTAACCTTAGATAGGCAGAAAGCACTGGAAAGCTATTTAGGCCTATTATGGGATTCCTCAGCAGTGCGCATCCATAACTGGACTGCTTTGAGTGTAAGCCACAATCATAAAGGTTAAATAGTACCATAAATATAATTCAGTATTCGAATGTAGTCCTATATATCTATTAGGATTTAAATCGTACTTGTTTCGTGAAGGTCAGTTGGTGTTAATTTTACTTCAATCATTTACTCCACTTTCACCCAAGGTACTCATCGTCGCTGGTCTGCAAATCTATTTCTGTATATTTTCGACTATATCTATCATGCAGTTAGGGATTAGATATAATCGTCTGAAGGTGGAACCTGTCTTGAATTACACAGTCAAAGATATTATCTTACCTTACCTACGCCTGTTACTCCCAATGGAGCATAGACCGCCGACCAGCATTCTCCAACCCACTCTGTCCTGGGCCTTCTTTTCTAGTTCCATCCAATTCTTGTTCATTTTTCTCATATCTATCTCCATTTCCCGGCGTAATGTATTCTTTGGTCTTCCTCTCTTCCTTCGACCTTGAGGATTCCATATGAGGGTTTGTCTTGTGACGCAGTTGGGTGTTTTCCTCAATGTGTGTCCTATCCACTTCCAGCGTTTCTTCCTGATTTCTTCCTCCACTGGGATCTGATTTGTTCTCTCCCACAGTAGGTTGTTGCTTATAGTGTCCGGCCAACGGATCTGAAGTATTTTGCGTAGACAACTGTTAATAAACACCTGTATCTTTTGGACGATGGATTTCTTAGTTTTCCAGGTTTCCGCCCCATACAGTAGAACTGTCTTCACATTTGTATTGAAAATTCTGACTTTGGTGTTGGTTGCTAATTGTTTTGAGTTCCAGATATTCTTCAGTTGTAAATATGCTGCTCTTGCTTTGCCAATCCGTGCCTTCACATCTGCATCAGATCCACCGTGTTCATCGATGATACTGCCCAAATATGTAAAGGTTTTTACATCTTCCAAATCTTCTCCGTCAGTTGTGATTGGATTGGTGCATGCTGTGTTGTATCGAAGAATCTTGCTTTTCCCTTTGTGTATATTGAGACCTATTGCTGCTGAGGCTGCTGCTACACTGGTTGTCTTCTCCTGCATTTGTTGTTGCGTATGCGATAGAAGAGCCAGATCATCTGCGAAGTCTATATCATCCAATTGCATCCTAGCTATCCACTGTATCTCGTGCTTCCCTTCACATGTTGATGTCTTCATGATCCAGTCGATCACCAGGAGAAAGAGAAAGGGTGAGAGTAAGCAACCTTGCCTGACACCGGTCTTTACTTCGAACGACTTTGTCAACTGTCCTCCATGCACGATTTTGCAGTTTAATCCATCATAGGAATTCTGTATGATATTGACTATCTTCTGAGGCACGCCGTAGTGTCGAAGAAGCTTCCATAGGGTTGTTCTGTCCACGCTATCAAATGCTTTTTCGTAGTCGATGAAGTTGATATAGAGTGATGAATTCCATTCAATTGATTGTTCCACAATGATCCGTAGAGTTGCGATTTGGTCTGTGCACGATCTATCCGCCTGGAGTCCCTTTCCGGGGGCTACTGCCGGTCCCAAGCCCGGATAAAGGAGGAGGGTTGGGCATGGGGTTAGCGACCCCATCCCGTAGAAAACTAACTCGCTAAAAAAACGCTAACCAGAAAAAAAATTATTCAAAGATATTATAATTATATAATATGTCGTTATATCAACTGACAGGTGAACGTAAACAGAAAAGCTTGGCAGGAGAAAGGTTTTAAATGCCAACCAATTTCATACAGTTTGTCTCGGCAAGTCTAGGTACATAGTCAGGCTTACTGGTAGCGAGTATATCATTTATCTGTACGTGTTGTTGTCAGTTTTGTAAATAACACCTCCACCACGAGAAGACAGTGAGTAGGACTTCCCTGACCATGTGAGAGCATTTATAGAAGGAAAGCGGACTCTCCCCCAAACTCGGTCGTACCAGGGCATTTGGAGGCATTATTTCGACTCATTCACTATTTATCTTGCTAATTTCATCTCACCGTATTCATATAATATTACAAATTGTATTGAATGGTTTTTTTTTCCTGGTTTTATGTTGATAGTGTCTGGCTGGTACTCGATGGTTATATCATACGTTTGATAGTATAATAAAATGCCTTATAGCAACATATATAGGGAATATTGAATTGATGATTAAATTCTTGAAATCCTCAATGAAATTTCATTCGGATGTTTAGGGTAGTTGAACTTCTCAGGTCATATATATAGTCATACACAAATACCTCCTTCTGTATAGCTAAACTTCATATTTAGGTCAAACTGTTTCGTTTGTTTCAATATGTTTGTTAACAGAGAAATAACAATCTCTTTGGTATAATCAGTTTAGGGGTTGTGGAGATTGTTAAGATTTTGATTGAGATCATGAACCGCGAGTGGGATCGTGGATGCGCACTGCTGAGGAGTTTTACAGTAGGACGAAATGGCCGTTCAGTGCTTTCGGGTTTTCCATGGTGGTCTAACTTCAATTGCCTCATGAGCTCAACTATTAAAAATAAGTATTTTCGTCCGTTAATTCTTCAAATAAACTTCTTTATATTGTCTTCGTTAAATCCATTTTCCTTTTTGAAAAAAATCCACAGATTGATGCTCATCCCGTGAATGATTTTCTAGTTGGACAAACTGATACACGAGTTATTATTCGTTTAAATATACATGTAGGCAATATTTCTTTAGTGGATCAATTTGAATGGGATCTTTCTGAACCAAACAATTCACCAGAACAATTTGCTTCAAGACTTTGTGCTGAATTAGGTTTAGGTGGAGAATTTGTCACAGCTGTTGCCTATAGTATTCGTGGACAACTTGCTTGGCATCAGAAAATTTATGCTTTCAGGTAATTGCTTTCTTTATTTTTATAATATAAATGACTACCTTGTCACTCACATCTACACATTGCGTATTTTGTATTTTTTTCAACAACCTAAGTATAGTTTGTGTGTGTTCTTTCATCAGTCATAATAGTAATACCATTCTTTTATTTTTAACGATTTCCCTGATCTTAAACCAATGGTGTACATGGGTTTCAGGATCCTGAAGGAACAAATGGCGTATGAACCAATCATTGGTCACCGGCTACCATGGGACTGCATTTCCTCACGATGCTCCACTGCCTTGTTGGTCAGACGTTCAGGTCGAAGGCTCGAGGTGTGGCCCCCTAAGAAAACCACCTGCTTCGCTTTGGGCACCCGAGCAGTACCACAGCCCTCTCACATATCAAATGATATTTGTGTGGCGCATATGTATTTGGTGCCTCTTTGTACTAATATCTATGTGTTAAAATAAATAAATAAATATCATTGACATCTAAAGTGTGTAGGATGTACAACTTGACAAGCAATTACATAACTCTCAGCTTTTCTCAAATGATGTAATGAACTGCTTACATAACTATATATTATAACACTTTTTTTTAACTTCATTTTTACTCTTCCAGTGAATCTCCTTTACCGACAGTCGATATAGTTTTTCGTAATTCAAATGAAGCTGATCAATGGAGTCCAGTTGTTGAAGTTCTTACTGACGCAGAAATGGAGAAAAAGATACGCGATCAAGATCGTAATACCAGGTAAACATCATTATAATCTAAACATAGAAAGTTGCAATCAAATAAATCATTAATGCATTGTAAAAGAATGATGTTTAGTGATATCTAAAGGAAGTTCTTTGAGTTTGACAAACCAACATATGTTGAATTCACGATATATCTTTAAGCTTAATAGTCTTGTGAATCCAGCAAATTTAACACGGGACTATAATTTACAGGCAACCTTTGACCGACTCGAAGGTGATCTTGAATGTCCACCTAATAACTAGGTCTAAATGAAAGTTATAGACCAGTGTGAGGAATTAGATTTATGATTTTCATCACGAAATGACATCAGGTATAATATCAAAGTGGTATTTAACCAAATAAGTGAATGAATTTTGTGCCATAGTCCAAGACCTGATAACCTAAATCTGATTAGTTTTTCCATAAATAATAGTCTTGCCGTTGAAATTATGTTTTCACATTCCTCATTATACACCATGCGGTTAGTTTGAATATACTATGTTTAGTAGCTGTTAAGGATGTTAGATCCCCAGAACCCTCTTGGTAAATGCCTTATTTTTGTAATTCTATTTTGAATTTCTTGTTTTCGCGCCATAAGCACCCACTTGGAAGGACCTTAAATACTATTGGTTCGTTGTCTCTTTTAATATGCTATTTTGTAACGTTCCCCAAGGACATTTTTATGCTGCACTTGAGTTATGCTTGTTGTTAGTGCTTGTGGAATATATTTCCATCTTTTGAATTTGGATTTCTATTTCTAGTTAGCAAGGTTGGGATACATCGGAATAGCTAGCTTATTGGTCATTGTATCACTGACTCTTTGTTTCGTTCACAGATTAGGTGAATTTGCAATCTCTTCAAGTATAGAAGTTTGTTAGACATATCATTGTCAATTTTTCCTTTCTACATTTTGTGTAAACAACTGAATGAATTTTGATGGACGGAAAAAATAACCCAGATTGGTTACATTTATGTGACTAGCTTCGTGAGGGGATTCCCGGAGTTCTAGTGAGAAGCCATGACCAGTGGAGCTAATCCATGTCGGGTAGGGATAGGTATCTACCTCAGTACAATGGAAGATGGTTGTGCAATTTCGTGGACTGGTTGAGGTTAGACATTAACACTATTTGACGTCAACTCAATGGTTTAGAGGTTAAGCGTTCGCGCTCGAGAGTGAAGGCCCTGGGTTCGAATCCCGCGGGCGGAATCGTGGATGCGCACTGCTGAGTCCCACGATAGAATGAAACGACCGTCCAGTACTTTCAGGTTTTCAATGGTAGTCTAACATCATTCAGATCTCAATCAAAAAACGTAATAATCTCCACAATCTTGTAGTTAATTATATAATTTAGTCTTGTGTTTTCACTTATCATCAGTTCAGACAAAATAAACAAGCACATTATTCCCATTTTACATCCTAAACATACCATAAATACTCGTTTAGATTGTGATATGGCATCTAGTACTACTAGTGAAAATGTTGTACTGTCAATGAACAAAGGCCCATTCACATTCATTAACCATTTATAATCATAAATAATCATGTACACTACCTATTTTAAACAAATATACGTAGAACGAAATTCCGATCAGCTGACTTAATAACATGGCATAAATCCATGAAGTCACTGACAAGTGGACTGAACCATGTTGGTAGGTATAGACTACCTGATTGGGATTCGTGAGACGATAGCAACCGATGATTAGAGAAATTGAATGACATGACTAAAAATCGTTTGCAATGTTGTGAGTAGGTGCATCTACTCTTTGTGTTCTTTCTAATTCTAATCTTCTGAATTCTTCATGTACCTTTCTTTTTTCTCTTTCCAAATCTATTTCACTGGATTATACTCCTTGAATAATATCTTCAAACCATAATCTTTCCGATTACTGCTTATACCTTGACTACCTCTACCACTATGGGATTTGAATTGATAATTGTGTCTCTGTGTTAATGTGGTATAGTTGTAACTCGAACTGATGTACGTACATACGAAGTTCTACGTTGTTGCTGGCTGACTGACTTAATAAATATACTTCAAATAATCTAAACTCCTAACAAACTACTTAATCTAAACTTTATTTGAATTATTTTGTCAAACACACATTCTTTATATTTAAAAGTCTATTTACCTATTGTATCCTCATTTTCACCATACATTTTTCTTTTCTTTCCTCAGACGAATGCGTCGTTTGGCCAATGCACAACCCAATTGGTAGACATTTTGTTTTTCAACAATGTTTTCAGTGTTGATGTACACATTTCTTAAAAAGTTTTCTAAACAATAATAATAACAACTTATTTATGTTAAATGAGTGTATCTTTTATTCTTCAGACAGTTAGTCATCTTCGAGCATAGGACCAGGCATATATATATATATATATATACCTTATGAGCACAACAAGATGAACAGTAAATTCATAGAAGTAGTCAATTCAATGGTGGTAATGTATAAAGAAAAGATTGAATCTAAGGATGTGATACAGGGAGAAAGAATTAGTTCCTAGGAAGAAAGGTATAAAGTACAAATTCATTTTGTATTTGCTTGTTCGAATTTTTCTTATTGATGTTTAAGACTGCAATTGATCAATCTCTTATTGTCATATGTGCATCCTGTGCAAATTACCTCGATATTGACTTGAGTCACTAACATTATCAGCAAACAAAATCAACTCTAGGATGCGGGTTTATCCCGAAATGCGCATCCTGGATTCCATTGCTGGCCAGCATCCATTTTTGCTTGTAAGCTATAAAGTAATTCTAATCTCACAGTTTAAGGGAAGATAAAAAGTGTTTACACCCACGTCATTGTGATTGATTCTGACCCATGTCGGTCAGAGTATCCAACCATTGGCTACGATAGTCTGCATCTACCAACACGGCTCAGACTAGAAGTTAGTGACTTTATAGTCTGATGCCACGTTCTGGTTTGGTCGCCCTTTAACTTTCTTTAGACCGTCTCCAACACTGGTCAGCATTGCGTGTCGTATTATTCGGTGTTCAGGCATACGTAACACGTGGCCCAACCATCTCAGTTGATGAAGATTAACAACCTCATCAATGAATTTACCGTCATTCTCTAATACCCTGCATCTAACATCATTATAAATATAAACTTAGTAAATATGTTAGTTGATTGATTCGCAAGTGTTTGTACGACAATAATGATTACGGTTTTCTATCGACAGCATTATATATAAAATTACATCCTGAAAGAGATCGGTAATAATATTTCTCTAATTGAAAATCACCTTTCTAAATGGTTAATTTAAAAAGAACAAGCGTAGAGGAGTAGTAGTGGTAGTTTCATGCTAATCAATGTGTTTTAAATGAAAGCTACACTAACTGTATCCATTGCCTCAACCAAAAATTAGCTCATTCAATGTTGATATACATTTATTACATATGAGTGGCTTGAATACACAAATATACAATGTGCTTCTGAGAATGTTAATATCCCATATTACACTTTCTTGTTCCATGACTTTACCATAACTATCACCGATACTGTGTTTTCTATGGCTAAGTAATTGTGACATAAATCAGTACCATTCCTTTTTGAATCGACATTTGTATTAACATACTATAATCTTGAAATTCCTAGTATTCAAATGCTTTCTGTAATAAATAAAATATTTGTACAAAACTGATGTAAAAATCAATGTATTTAGTAAATGAAAAATCACAGGAAATTTAGGTCATTCATCAGATCTTGATGAGTTTTGTATGCAACTTAGCCTAATACGAATTATATTCATCGATTATCCAATTGTCTTTCACGAATATTCACGGACTCGTCAAATTTGATGACATAAGCAGTCCCCTTGTACCAGGTTGCCGTAACTGTACAAGGCTATAAGAAAAAAAAAAAGAACCAAATGAGAAATATCCAGACATTCGGTTAACTATCAGTTAATTAATAAACAACCTTAAGAAACCATACATTTTTTGTTGTTGTTGAGTTAATGAACCCAGATTCAATAAAGAACTTGTCCTTCTTGTTTATTTACTTACTTACGCTTGTGACCTTCAATGGAGCATAGGCCGCCGACCAGCATTCTGCAACCCACTCTGTCCTGGGCCTTCCTTTCTAGTTCAATCCAATTTTTGTTCATTCTTTTCATGTTTGTCTCCATTTCTCGGCGTAGTGTGTTCTTTGGTTTTTCTCATCTCCTTTGGCTTCGACAATTTCAAGTGAGGACTTGCTTTGTGACACAGTTGGGTGCTTTCCTCAATTTGTGTCCTATCCACTTCCAGCGCTTCTTTCTGATTTATTCCTCTTCTGGAATCTGGTTTGTTCTCTCCTACAGTAGGTTGTTGCTGGTAGTGTCTGGTCAACAGGTCCGGAGTGTTTTGTGCAGACAACTGTTAATGAACATTTGCATTCGCAGGTCACCAAGTTGCCGTTCTGTACAGTAGAACCGTCCTGATATTTATTCTGAAAATTCCGAATTTGAGTTCCAGATGTTCTTCAATTGCACATATGCTGCTTTTGCTTTGCTGATCCTCATTTTCACATTTGCATCAGATCCACCGTGTTCATCGATGATGCTGCCCAGGTATATAAAGGTTTTCACACCCTCCAAAGCTTCTCCGCGAAGCATGATTTGATTGGCGCATGTTGTGTTGTATCGGAGAATCCTGCTTTTCCCTTTGTGTATGTTGAAACTAACTGCTGCTGCACTGGTCATCTTCTACGTTTGTTGTTGCGTGTGCGATGGAAGAGCCAGATCATCTGCGAAGTCTAGATCGTCCAGCTGTTCACGGTATCCCATGCTTCTCCCCCAGATGTTGACATCTTCATGATCCCGTCGATTACCAGGAGAAAGAGAGAGGGTTGGAATAAGCAACATTGCCTGACACCGGTCTTTACTTTGAACGAGTCCATCAGCTATCCTCCATGCATGATTTCGCAGTTTAATCCATCATAAGAATTCCATATGATGTTGACTATCTTCTTTGGTACACCGTAGTGTTGAAGAATCCTCCATAGTACTGTCTTGTCCACGCTATGAATTTGACTTTTTCATATGTTAATATATGATTTTTTCTATTAGCTGAAATGTTTCAGTAATACTGTGCTGTGTGCTACTAATATCGACAGATATAAGTAGTATGTATCATCAACCGAAAGTGAAGTGTCTGAAGGCAAAAGGGTAGGGAAGATCAAAGAAAAGAGAACGAGAACAATCAAGTCTGAGATGATTGATTGACATTTTGTAAATGAAGTACTGATTGTATGGTTCTTAGATTTTACTAAGACCTGTAATTTTTTATTCAAATACATTCAATTATCCCCACTTGTGTTCTCGTTCACTACATATAGTATTGCTACCAACCAGAAGGAGGGGAAGGGTACTGTTCTGGGGACTCCGATGCGGGCTTGGCACTGAGGTACTAATTGATGTGGTGTATGTTACTTATATCGGCATAAGTAGTATGTAACGCGAGTCAGGAAAAGAATGTCTCGCAGCAGAAGACCAAGGAGGAAAGAATAGGAACAGAAAGTAATTCATATGTAAATGAAGGAACAGTCAAGTTTGAGACAACTGATTGATATTTTGCAAATAAAGTATTCACTACATTGTTCTCAGATTTTACTATGATGTTCTGTAATCATGTGTTGAGATACATTTGATTAGTGATAAGTCTTGTAAATTGAACGCTATATTCGATTCCTAAGCTATTCTCGTAACCCTCAAGCTAGAAATACATAGTAACCTGAACACAAGAGAAAAGGCGCAAAATATGTGAGAAGCACTTTAATCCAAAGGTTTGTTTTGATACAGAAAATATAGGGTTTTTATAGTATTTTAGATGTCCTTGGGTTCCCCAAAGATTTTGGAATGCTATTATGTTTAGTAGCAGTATAGTAATCAGCCAATCAGAAACTCTACATGTGATTTTTCACTTTCTTGATATTTCTGGATAAACTTCAAGTGAACGGTGATTGGATGAAATGCTTCTTAGTGTTTCCTAAACCTTTCTTTTCCTGGATCACCTAAACAATTAGTCCCTACTTATGTGTTCTTGTCCACTACAATACAAGTTACCTTCTATATTAAATATAATTCTATAACCATTAATTCTAGAAAATTAAAAACAAAAAGTTTACAATGTAAATAACTTACAAAACCAATATTTGATAAGAATGCTTCAACAATTCCAGCATTAAATGCTGCAATATTTAATGGAGCAGCTAAAATTTATTAAATGTAATATAATTAAGTAATTTATTCATTAAAAAAGAAAAAGTGATATATGGGCAATGGGAGATAATCATTGGTTGTTTGCTTATTTTATTTATTTATTTAACACATAGATATTGGTACAAGGAGGCACCAGATACATATGCGCCACAAAAATCTCATTGGATATGTGTGAGGGCTATGATACTGCCCGGGTGCCCAAACCGAAGAAGGTGGTTTTCTTAGGGGACCACACCCCGAGCCTTCGACCTGAACGTCTGACCAACAAGGCAGTGGAGCATCGTGAGGAAATGCAGTCCCATGGTAGCCGGTGACCAATGATTGGTTCATACGCCATTTGTTCCCTCAGGCAGGATACTGGAGCCCATGTGCACCGTTGATTTGGGATCCGGTTATAGCGCCGGACATTCGCTTTTCGTCCTCTCATTTTTGTAAACAACACCCCCGCCACGAGAAGGCAGTGAGTAGGACTTCCCTGGCAGGGGCTATATACGCATGGCCATGTGAGAGCATTTCGAGAGGTAGAGCGGACTCTCCCCACTCTCGGCCGTACCAGGGCATTTGGGGGCGGTTGTTTGCTTAGTTAGACAAATATAGATAGTCTGACAAGTGTGTCCTTATTATTATTGATTGATTTCTGTTAAATTGTTGTCAGATTAGATGGTGGTTGGAAGTAGTCGATAGGAAATCCTGGACCCGAATTTCGTGCTACTTGGCACTTGTCAGCAAGGTGTACCTGTAATCTGGTGCTCTCTGGAGGATTCGATCCCGTGTCACCCAGCTTCACAGTCAGAGACGTTACCACTGAGATATCCGGGCCACGGCCGACCCCCTGTAAGACTGAGATGCAATAAAAATTGATTGATCACTGGGTGACCAATGTCATGGCTCAAAATCGTTTGCAATGGCGCAGGTGCATCCACTCTTTCTGTTCTCTCAAATTCTAATCTTCTGAATTCTTCATGTTCTTTATTTTCTTTCCCAATTTATTCCACTGGACTATACTCCTTTAATAACATCATCAAACCCTAATGTTCCCTGTCACTACTTATACTTTCAGTACCTCTACCACTATGGGATTTGAATCGATAACTGAATCTCTGTGCTAATGTGGTATGGCAACTCGAATTGATGTACGTATGTACGAAGTTCCACGTTGTTACTGACTGACTGACTGACCAATGTCATGCGTGTCTAGTCCTTATTATTAGTGCAGATCGAATGCTATCGATCATATTGCAATGTGGCCACCAGTTCCCTCAAAGATTACAGGTACACCTTGCTGACGAGTGCCAAGTAGCACGAAACCCGGGTCCAGGGTTTCCTGTCGACTACCTCCAACCACCATCTAATCTTACAATAGTGCCCGCAGTGTCGAGTCACCTAGACTGGTGGCCATATTGCAACATGATCAATAGCATTCGATCTGCACTAATAATAAGGACTAGACACGCATGACATTGGTCACCCAGTGATTAATCAATTGTGAATTGTTGTCAGTTTTTTTGGTGTGGAAATATATTTACATTCTAGTCAGACTAATCACGTGTTCTTGATCATCTGAGTTGTATTGAAGTCCTGTAGAATAGACACATTGGGAGGGGAGGAAGGTGAGAATCTAGTGTAGATATTCATCTTGTAGTGAACAAGAACGCTTCAGGCCAGCAAAACAGCACCCTTCCCCTCTCCTGATTGGCAGTGACACCGAATTCAGTGAAGAAGAACGCCAATGGGGACAATCGAATATATTTAACAACAAATTACAAAAATAGTTAGTAAAATCTAACAACCATATATTAAATGCTCAATTTGCTAAAATGTTCATCAATTGTCTTAAAATGACTGAGAATTCCTTTGTTCTTGCATTTTTGCACAAATTGCATTCTGTTTTCATTCTTTACTGTTCCGTGTTCTTGTCTCTTTGTTACCAGACATTCTGTTCACCAATAACATCATATACTATTTTATGTTTACATAAATAGCACACACCATAATCTAAGGTAAATTAACATCCCATAAATGTAAACATGGTAAACTCCATCCGTTATATTATTAGATGTAATAAAAAACCGAGTGTTATCATAAAAAAAAGAAAAAAAAAGAAAAAAAGAAAAAAAAAAGAAAAATAAATAGAAAAAAACAAAACTTACATGTTTTACGTTTTTCATCTTTTTCATCATAAGTAAATCGAGTAAAACGATTCACTACCGGTTCATGTTCAATCATATAAACTAAAATGAATGAATTATAGAAAAATAAAAACAAAAAAAAATTATTTTACATAGATTTTCATCGACTCCATCACGTTCTAATTCATCTGCTTCTTTATTGAATAAATTTTTCCAAAAATTTGATTTTAAAAATATTAATGCATTATATAATCTGATATCACGTTTTGTTGATTTTTCACGTAGATAAACAACATCTAACATACGTTCACCAACTGATTTACCAAAATCTGATAATCTAATATAAAAAGAAAAGAAAATAGAAAAGAAAAGAAAAAGAAAAGTTTATTTCAATCAATATACATGGAAACAATGAAATTTATCATAAATGAACATTACTGGTTGGTGCCCCCCCAAATACCCTGGTATGGTCGAGAGTGAGGTGGGTTCGCCCTCCCTCTCGAAATACTCTCACATGGCCACGCGTATATAGCCTCTGTCAGGGAAGTCCTACTCACTGCCTTCAAGTGGCGGGGGTGTTGTTTACGAAAATGAGAGGACGAAAAGTGAATGTCCGGCGCTTTAACCGGATCCCAAACCAATGGTGCACATGGGCTGGCTCCAGTATCCTGCGGGAACAAATGGCGTATGAACCAATCGTTGGTCACCGGCTTCCATGGGACTGCATCTCCTTACGATGCTCCACTGCCTTGTGGATCAGACCTTTAGATCAAAGGCTCCGGGTATGGCCCCCTAAGTAAACCACCTGCTTCGGTCTGGGCACCCGGGCAGTATCTCAGCCCACACACTAAAACATGATGAACTATGTACTTATGAAAAATATTCTTTTCGCTCCGATTTACACTGAAATAAATCGCACTATTATTATTATTATTGTGATTATTATTATTAGTAGTATTATTATTATTTACCACATCATTTATTCACTCTCTCTTATTCCCACTTTATGTATCCGCTTCGACTTAGACAGCAGCTCGCCTATGGTGAAAATTCGGCTCTATCTAAATGTTCTCGAGTCACTGCCTGGTTGAAAATTGTATGTTACTTTTTGTGTGACGCATATATATTTGGTGCCCCTTTGTATCAATATTTATGTGTTCAAATAAATAAATAAACTGGTTGGTGTATGTTATCTACGCGGTAGGGTTGCCGATCTCATGTCTAACCCTTCTCTTTTACTCGGGATTGGCATTAAGGCAGTAATTCTAAAAGAGCTCTACATAGGCGGAGTTATAATAATAATAATAATAATAAATTAGGACTATAAAAATTATCAATGACCTGATGATACATTCGATAATGGAGAGAAACTACTCGAAATGTTCTTATATGGTCATACGTGTATAATTATTGCTAAAGAAGTCCTACTCACTGCCTTCGTGTATTGGAGATGTTTATTAAAATGCAGAAGATGAAAAGTAAATAACAAGCGTTTTAAATAAGTTGATAGATACAGAAGATTCACGCAAGGATGTTGGAAAACCCTGATTCGAAACTAATGATACACATAGGTTATAGGATCTTGAGAGAACAATTGAAAGATCAATTGAAAGTGGAAAGTCTGGCAACAGATGGTTAAAAGAATCGAAGAGAACGAGAATAGAGAGTGATTGGTATGAAAACGAACAAGCGACAAAGTCTAAAATAATTGATGAATATTTTGCAAATGAAATATTACTGTATGATTCCCAGATTTTACTAAGATATTCTGTAATGATTATTCTTGCCTTTGATCTCGTTCAAAACAATTCAAAGTGTTCTAATATTTAAGGATTAGATGGCTACTATAAATGATACATAACCTCTAAATATCAATAGATAATCTCATACTAATTGAAATTTTTCATGATTTAGTTTGAAATTATTCATGTTACACAAAAAAAAAAAACTCACCTTTTCTGAACAAGATCCATACTGGATACATTACGCATTGAATATTTGACTAACTCCACAAATAAATATGCAAAAGATGCTATATTAACCTAAAGAAATTTATATACAGTAATGAAATTACAAATTACATCACCACGTAGTTTAGTTAAACTTTTTTCTAAAATAGCAGCAGAATTTTTTGGATTACCATAGTTCATATTGACAAATCTATAATAAAAAAAAAAAACATGGAAGAAATCAATAGATACAGAGTAATTCTGAACAATATTGATACTTTTGTACATAGATCAAGTGACCACGTGCATGTAATCACTCCCAGGGAAGTCCTACTCACTACTTTCTAGTAGCATTAGTGTTTACAAAATTGAGAGGGCGAACAGTGAATATCCGAAGCTATAACCAGCTCAATAGAGACGGTGGTTTCACCCAGGGGAGTTGGAAAACCATCATTCTAAATTAATGGTGTACATGAGCTCCAGTATCCTGAAGGAACAAATGGAGTATGAAACAATTGTTGGTCACCGTCTACCATGTGACTGCATCTCCTGACATTGATCCACCGCCCTATGGATCAGATCTTCAAGTCAAAGTCTCGAGGAGTGGCGTCCTAAGAAGATCATGTACTTCTGTTTGGGCACCCGGGTAGTATCCTAGCCCTCACATAAATTGAATGATTTATGTGGCGCTTATCTATTTAGTGCCTCATTGTACTAATGTTTATGTGTTTAAATATAAATAAATAAAAAACAAACGATTCTCGAAGTCTGTAACACGATAACAGATGACAGAGTCGATATGCTACAGAGATTATATTTTACCAGAAATTAACAAAGTTGACACAATAACACATTGCGAGGTAAAAGCCGGTTGTTTGTAGTAGACCCTTAATCACTTTCATTTACTAGTAATATCTTCCCAGCTTTTTCTTTAACACCCCACTCCTTAATTTCAGATCGTCCACCCTACAAAACGCCTTATCAGTTCAGGAATATTGGGATCAAAAAGCTCTTCTCCATACACTATTACTGGAATTTATCAAGATATTCAATATTATGGAATCGTTTACTTTTGTCTAACAATAATGTTTGTCAAAATCTATTAATTAACAGTATCTGAGGCAAAAATTTTGATCTCTTTATACCTCTAGAAGTGGAACAAAACAACAACTATGCAGTCATAAATTCATAGACATTCACACATCATTATTGAGAATAAGTAGTCAAAAAAAGAAAAAAAGAAAAAAGAACCAAACTATTACTTCTGAATAGATATATTTGTCAAAATAGAACAAAAATCAAATGTATATACATAGTCAATTTATCACAAAGATTCATTGATATATAGAATCAAGTAAGAGAAAACGTTTTGTATAGATCTAAATCTGTAAATTTCCATGCGGAACATATTCCAGCTATTATAAGTATCATATAACCCATGTAAAATGCCTATAATAGTAAAAACAAAAAAATAAGATTGATAATAAAATGAAAACATCTTTACATATATATATGCTTCCACTCATATAGCCTTTACAATTGATTGACCAACGAGTAGTGACTGATGTCATACATATCAAGTCTTTTTTTTTTAGTTTTTGGTAAAATTTCTACAGGAGGTCAATTGTAATCCCATAGACTCAGTGGTATTAACTCTGGTAGTAAAATTGTTTGATGCGGGATCGAACCCGTTAGAAAGTATCAGTTCCTTCAAGATTGTAGGCATACACCTTACCAATAAATGTCTAATAACACGAAACCTAGGCCAAAATGAGAAGGAAATATCACAAACTGTGATAAAGTGACGTCTACATAGACTGATACAATAAGCTTTTTCAAAAACACACATAAGTACTTTCAGAATTTTTTTTGTTCATTAGCCACCTCAATGATGTAAGTGTATTTATGTTTTCTTTCTTTTAGTGAACCCCTTTTCACAGATGCTTGTACATAAATTTAGAGATGAAGATGATATCATTCATCGAAATCCCTTGTTTCAGATCAGTTACCACTAACTTTTTAAATTATGCTTGCTAATCCTCGAAGAACATAGGCCGCTGAGCAGGATTCTTTAACCGACTCTGCCCTCTCCTTCCCACTTGTTATCAAGTGCTACACTTCGTTTCGCTGTCTCCTACACCCAGCCCAATGTCTTCTTCGGTTTGTATTTTTCATGTTGTCTTCAGTATCCCAAGTTAGGGCTTGCACCGTGATGGGATTTCATGATTTCCACAATGTATTTCCTACCCGAATTCAGCGTTTCTTCCTAATTTTCTCTTCAGCTGGAAGCCAATTTGTTCTCCCCAACAGTAGGTTGTTGCAAGTGATAACCAGCTAACGGACATTGAGTATCTTGCGTAGAAAATTGTTTAAAAATACTTGACGTTCAAATTGAAGATTCTGATTTTGATATTGGTTGAAAGTTGTTTTGAGTTCCATACGTTCTTCAATTTTAAGAATGCTGCCTTTGATTTGCGAATCCCTGCGTTTACGTCTGCATCAGATCCTCATTGTTCATCGATGATGCTGACCAGGTACGTGAAGATTTCCAGATCCTCCAGGTTCTCCATCAAGGGTGATTGGGTTGGTGTTCTCCGTGATGTTTCTGAGGATCTTGAATTTTACGGTGTGTATGTTGAGGCCCACTGTTGTAGAGACTGCTGTTACATTGGCTGTCTTTACCCAAGTATAGGATAGAAAAGCTAGATCATTTGCGAAGTCCGAATCGTCTAGCTACATCCAAGCTATCCATTGCATTCCATGCTTCCACTCAGTTGTGGAGGTCTTCATAGTATCGGGGGGTTTCATATATCCACACTGTCAAACGCCTTCTCATAATCGAGGAGGTTGATATACGGTAATGAGATCCACTCCATAAATGGTTCAACAATGATCCGTAGTATCGCGATCTGAAGCCAGGATAAACAGCGGCCAATTTTTATAAACCATGATTAATAGCCATATACTGATGAAAAAATCGTTCCCAAGTGCACTCGCCCATTAACTGACAGACGGGCATTCCATCTGCAATACAGGTAGCACAATTTCGAAAGGGTAAATCAAGCTTTCTGTATATATGTTAATAATTTATTAAGTACGGACCCAATATAGATGAGGAGGCTTCAACTACAAGTGAAGTGGTCGACGCGCTGGCACACACTAGATCTAAAACATTTTGTATTCAAAGGATGAGAAACTCATCCCAAACATTCTTGTATGATTTCTTTAGACATCTAGTATATGTAATAAACTGAACCCCGTTTCCTATGCGCTTTTTGTGAGTAATACACAGATTTGTGTAGTGACAAATGAATGTGAATCTTTGTGAAATGATGAACAATAAGCAGTTGGTTATAGTTTTCCTCTTTCAAGACAGAAAGTCCTCCCACTGATTCCCGCATGTGGAATCTTGGACACATACAAAATCCACTGAGGAATCCCATACTAGAATGGAACGACCATTCAGTGCTTCTCGGTTTTAAATAGTGGTCTACTTAGATCGGCTCATGAATTCATTCGCATCTATCAAACAGTATACATTGTATGAGTTACTAGTACTGTGCCTTCAAATGTCCCAGTACGGCCGAGGGTGGAGACAGCTCTCCCTCTCCAAATACTCTCACGTGGCCACGAGTATACAGCCACTGACAAGGAAGTCCTACACACTGTCTTATCGAGGCGGGCGGATTTTTTTTCACAAAACTGAGAGAACGAAAAGCGAATATCCGACGCTTTAACCGGGTTAGTGGATACTGAGAGTCCATCTAAGGGAGTTGGAAAATTCTCATTCGAAATCAATGGTGTACACGGACTCCAGGTCCTCAGGGAACAAATGGTGCTGTACAATTGTTGGTCACCGGTTACCATGGGACTGCATCTCTTGACGTTACTCCACTGCCTTGTGGATTAGACCTCTAAGTCAAAGTTTCGAGGAGTGACCCCCACTCCTGAAAAAACCGCCTGTTTCAGTTTGAATGCCCAAGCAATATTCCAGTCCTCACACAGATCAAGTGACTTATGTATTGCATATGTATTTGATGCTTTCAAGCACTCATATTTATTTATTAATTAATTAATTATTTATTTATTTGAACACTTACATATTGGTACAAGAGGGCACCAAATATATATGCGCAACACAGATCTCATTTGATATGTGTGAGGGCTGTGATACTGCCGGGTGCTTATACCGAAACAGGTGGTTTTCTTAGGGGACCACACCCCGAGCCTTCGACCTAAAGGTCTGATCCACAAGGCAGTGGAGCATCGTGAGGAAATGCAGTCCCATGGTAGCCGGTGACCAACGATTGGTTCATACGCCATTTGTTCCTTCAGGATACTGGAGCCCATGTGCACCGTTGATTTGGGATCCGGTTATAGCGCCGGACATTCGCTTTTCGTCCTCTCATTTTCGTAGACAACACCCCCGCCACTTGAAGGCAGTGAGTAGGACTTCCCTGGCAGAGGCTGTATATGCGCGGCCGTGTGAGAGTATTTCGAGATGGAGGGCGGGCCCATTCCACACTCGGCCATACCAGGGCATTTGGGGGCACTCATATTATGAAATAAAACATACATATATTATATTATATCCAATAAATTTACTAACCAATGTTTTATCACTTCTCAAAGAATTAATCAACGTGTATATACTAAATTGATTTGATTTTACCATAGTGGAACAATTTATTTTAGATAATTTAATTGAATTTCGTATTAATAAAGGTAAAGATGGTAAATTGAAATGATTATCTGGGAAAACAATAGAATCCAATGGTCCTGAATCAATAATGATACCACGCATAAAAAATTTATCACATTCTATAATACGTACAAGTACTATACGACCATAAACATTCGGATCTTTTGGTAATAAAATCTAGGAGAAAAAAACCATAGAAATTAGAAAGATAATTAAACAAATGTAAGTATTATAAGGAAGTTATAACTTGGAGATAGTTATTTCACCTCATCGCACCCCCCCCCAAAAAAAAGAAACAAAATATCTAATGTGCGGGCGAGGAAGATAATGATTGGTTGTTTGCTTAGTTAGACAAATGTAGATAGTCTGACAAGTGTCAGATGAGTTATATATTCCCTCCATCATTATTATTATTATTATTATTGATTGCTGTTGGATTGCATCGGATTGTGCCGGGGTTTTGGTGTGGAAATATATTTACATTATAGTCAGGTTAATCACGTGTTCTTGATCATCTGAGTTGTATTGAAGTCCTGTAGAATAGACATACTGGGTGGGAATCTAGTGTAGATATTTCTTTAAGGTAAATTAACGTGCCATACGTGTAAACATGAAAAACCCAACTGTTATAACAATGTCAAATATAATTCAAAGGCTTTTTTAGTATCAGAGGAGTTTTGTGGATATTATAGTAATTTCAATGGTTGGGACCATGAGTCAATTGAAGCTAGACCACCATAGAAAACCTAGAAGTACTGAACGGCCGTTTCGTCCTGTTGTGGGACTCCTCAGAAGAGCGAATCCACGACCCCACCTCGCGAGATTCGAACCCAGGACCTAAATATTGGTACAAGGAGGCACCAAATATATATGCGCCACACAAACCTCAATTGATTTGTAAGAGGGCTGTGGTACTGCCTGGGTGCCCAAACCGAAGCAGGTGATTTTCTTAGGGGGCCACACCCCGAGCCTTTGACCTGAACGTCTGATCCACAAGGCAGTGGAGCACCGTGAGGAGATGCAGTCCCATGGAGGCCAGTGACCAACGACTGGTTCGTACGCCATTTGTTCCCTTAGGATACTGGAGCCCACGTGCACCATTGGTTTGGGATCCGGTTAAAGCGCCGGACACTCGCTTTTCGTCCTCTCATTTTCGTAAACAACACCGCCGCCACTTGAAGGCAGTGAGTAGGACTTCCCTGGCAGAGGCTATATACGCCTGGCCATGTGAAAGCATTTCGAGAGGGAGAGCGGACTCTCCTCACTCTCGGCGGTACCAGGGCATTCGGGGGTCACTTCCCGAACCTTCGACCTAAAGGTCTAATCCAGAAGATAGTGGAGAAACGTCTGGGGAGGAAGTCTCATGGTAACCGGTGACCCGTTTGTTTCCTGGGGATCCTAGAACCTTTGAGCATCATTGGTTTGGAATGAGGGTTTTCAAATTTTCCTAGATGGACCCTCCGTATCCACTAACCCAGTTAAAGCGTCGGACATATGATGTTCGCCCTCTTAATTTCGTAAAAAAAACACGCCCATCGCGATAAGTGCAATTCAATTACTAACCATACATACTGAGATTACTGACTAATCATATGCTGAAACATCACGTAATAATGACAATTCACCTAATTTCCATATATTAGGTAAATCACTGTGATTTTATTTGATAGTATCTATGAATTGAATAGCAAATATGCATTTAAAGTATTTGGTATTATCAACTTTGGGGATTTGTGGGGATTTCGGCATTTCCAAAATCCAATTTACAAATCGATCTAAGCTAGACCAACATTAAAAATGTGAATGCACTAGACGGCCGTTTCGTCCTAGTAACAGAATCCTCGGCAGTGTGCATCCACGATCCCGCACGCGAACGTGGATTCCAACCTGTGTCTGGTGAGACACTTACCCACCTCAGACAATACATGAAGGGTTGAGCACATTTGAGTACCGCTGGATAAAAAGAGAACTTTAAGATCATCCTTTCTCAGCAACAGTCAGACGAATATAGGCAAAGAAATCTAATAGACACTGCATTTGAGTCCCGCGTGTGGGATCTTGGATGCGCGCTGCTGAGGAGTTTGATACTAGGACGAAACGGTCGTCCTCGTCTTTCAGGTTTTTAATGGTGATCTAGCTTAGATTGACTCGTGAATTCAACTTTGAAAATATTGAATATTAAGAAAAATAGTTTTAGAATGAGTTAACCTAATACATCAAGGACCATGAAAACTTCATAGAACATATTGATCTTCCTTGATGATAAAATGACAGAAAAAACATCCATACAAAAAGCAACAAGCAATATAGGCATGTTGATAATTTGCATTAATAATTTACACATACTTGTTCATAAGCTTTTGTATGACCAACCCAAAATTTACCATCAAAACTCGGTTCAGTAATAAGAACACGAACTTCACAACCAATACGACCATCATAAGTTCGATAACTTCTGAACAGATCGTGTAATCTACGTGTACGAGATTTAACTTCGGAAGAACTAGCTTTCCTATTAGAAAAAAAAAACAATAATAAAGTGTATCGTAAAAATAATATTCGAATCTTATAAATTGACTATCTTTACTAATATTACAATCAACTATGTTCTTACTTAAAAATGAACATATGATACATTCTGTATTAATTTTGGTCACTATATGAACGAAATGTCATAGAAGTTGAGCGTCATGTATACAGAAGACATTGGAAGCAAAAATATTTTTTTCAGTATAGAATTTTGTGAAAGTTGTAGAATTTATCATAGTTCAAATTACGAAACAAGACAACCATTGAAAATCACAAAGCACTGAACAGTTGTTCCATCCTAGTATGGGACTTTTGAACAGTACGAACCCACGACTCAGTCATAGGTAATCAAACTATGAAAATTCTACAACCGCCAGATGCTCTCGCAATGTCGTGAACTGACTGAAGATATATATGTACACCATTGGATACCGGCTCAGTGATTAAGAGGTTAAGCGATCGCGCACAAGACCGGATGTCTTGAGTTTGATTTCCGGTTGAACGGTTTTAAGTAGGCATATAAGGACGGAACATTCCTACAATACTTCTAGGCATTTATTGATATCAAGAGTGAGATCAGTCTCTGGAATAGCTCCAGCGTTTGTATGGTGTTTTAAGTGGCATATACACATTTCTCTTTGGTTATCTGGTAATAATCGCGGAAAAAATCGATATTTCCATCGTTGCGGTAACATTCACAACTAAATGATTATCATCCTAACAGAATCACCTTTTGTTTTTTTTACCACTTATCTTTGATTCCCTTTTATGATATACAGAAAATCGGTAGTGTTAGGTGACTCGATTCATTATTTTTCGTAATTCTTAGAAGATATGTTTTAACCGGGTTGGGCCGATCAAATGGGTCGTGTTTTTCAGATCAGTATAATAGTTCTAACGAAAATGATATATTTGAGAATAGTCTTTCAACAAACAATTATTTTCTGTACGTTAATATTGAATAAACAAAAAGGTGATGAAAATGAAACTATCCTACTTCGTTATTTCATAGATGTAATTCAAATGAAAAACAGATAGGAATGTGCAATATATCTTAGTGCACTCAAATGCCCTGGTACGGATGAGAATGGGGAGAGTCAGCTCCATCTAGAAATACTCTCACATGGCCACACGTATACATCCACTGTCAGAGAAGTCTTACTCACTGCCTTCTCGCGGCACTACTGCTGTTTACCAAATTGAGAAGACGAGACGAGAAGAGAATGTCCGGCGCCTTAATCGGGTTGGTGGATATGGAATATCTACCTAGGGGAGATGGAAAACTATCATTCCAAACCAACGGTGCACATGGACTCCAGGATTATGATTGAACAAATGGCGTATAAACCAGTCGTTAGTCACCAGCTACCCATGTGACTCCATCTCCTGACGTTGCTCCATTGTCTTGTGGTGGGTAGTCCAACATCAAACGGTTCATGATTTCAATCAAAAACATAATAATCTCCAAAACCCCATACTGATAATAATATTTACGAAATATAAACAAATAACAGAAAAAAATTTCCAATTAGAGAAAATACCTTGGCATATTAGCAGCAGGTGTACCGGGACGTGGAAAGAACTGATTTATATGTAATACAGGAAATTGATACTTTTCAATTAATTCAACAGTCTCATTAAAATCGTTATCTGTTTCAGTTGGAAAACCGCATATCACATCAGTGGCAATTGTAAGCGTTCCAGATCCATTTACAGTATCATGTGCTGCACCAGGAGGTCTAATAATAAACAATGAAGATTAAAGATAATGGAGAAAATCAATGGACAAACAATTAGTAGAATGTAAGTAAATCGTTTGTTTTTTTAAATCGGTTCATGATCTTAGTTATGACTTGACAATCTCTACAACCATATACTTACGCCTGTTAACCCTCGTGGAGGAGAATAGGCCGCTCACTAGCATTTGCTATCCACAACCTGATACTGATAAGTATAAATGAGTTATTAGGGCTTAAAACTTTGTTAAAGTGTACATATGAACAATGTTTAAAACAACTTGGCAAAAGCTGAATATAAAATGCTACATTGATCAGTGTTTTCGATGTAGTCCATACATATATGAAATACGTTAATGTTTATTAGTTTAATACGATCAACCACCAACCAATTCAAACCATTAGACTTGTTATATCATGCAAATCAACAAAAGAGAAAATTCGAAACCAGTAAAACAAAAGGGTACTATAAATCTGTTATATATAGAGTTTATATTCTTGATATGCCGCGTAAAACTTGAGCACTTGAACGCTAGAACCCTTTCAAGTCGTAAATGAAAAGACAGAAGACAAGTGAAAGGAATGTTAGTCCAGATAGTGTCAAATTTTCGTACAAAGCTGTCAGGTATTTATAGTTTTTAGTAAAAACGAAATCATCATTATAGCTATCCATTCTGCACACAGAGGGTTATTAGCATTGTCCAAACGGGAAGTTACCGTCCTCACAAAATTCAACAAAATTTCAATCTGATAATCCAATCTGGAATGATTCAGATTATCTCATTGTTGATTGTCATTTTTTTCTCTTGATCATGTATACTGCGATAATACGTTGCGTTCATGGGACTAGTCACGTTAATATCCGACCCAGAATAGAGAAAACGATTAACATTAGATTATACATCGTTCAATACAACTATAAGTAATCACATTCTCAGTGAATCTGGAGTAGAGATGATCAGTGACATCAAGGGAAATCACATATTTAATAGTCCGTAGGTTGTGGCAGTTTGTCCACGCTCCCAATACCATACATAATATATATGCATCCTGCGTAGAGAGCCTCGATATAGCTGTGGTGCATGCTACTTACTCTGAGAGTATGTAGCCCAGATTGGAAGTGGAATTGAAGAGTTCAGGAAGGGAAACAGACAGTAAATGGAATGACAACAGAATTGGAAGAATTATGAAGGATGTAAAAAACAACTGTAGGAAGATATGCATAAAACAATCAATCGGTTTTCCCCATCTAAGTTTCCTTTCACTATATAACTACTGTGACACAACTTACTATAGAATAGATGGAATGTGGTTAGCAGGAGATTCTAGGATGTGCATTTTGTCATATTTAGGACTCGTCAGTTGGATGTACCTACATTCTAGAGGTATATATATTTACATCAGTATTGCAATTTACAGATTCGAACAAACGATAAACTATTACTATTATTAAGGGATGTTTTGTCTTGAATTTTCTTTTGAAAAATGTTTATTTATTTATTTTATTATTTAAACACACAAACATTAGTACAATCAGGCACCAAATAGATAAGCGCCACATAAATCATTCAATTTATGTGAGAGCTGGGATACTTCCCAGGTGCCCAAACAGAAGTAGATGGTTTTCTTAGGAGGCCACTCCTCGAGACTTTGACTTGAAGGTTCAATCCATAAAGCAGTGGATCGATGTCAGGTGATGCAGTCCCATGGTAGCCGGTGACCAACGATTGATCCATACGCCATTTGTTCCTTCAGGATATTAGAGCCCATGTGCACAATTGGTTTGGAATCACGGTTTACCAACTCGCCTAGATGGACTCTTCATGTCCATCGACCCGATTAAAGCTCCTGCCGGACATTCACTTTTCGTCCTCTCAATTTCGTAAACAACAGTAATGCTGCGAGAAGGCAGTGAGTAGCACTTCCCTGTCAGTGATTGTATGCACATGACCATGTAAAAGCATTTCGAGTGGGAGAGCTAACTTTCCCCACTCTCGGCCATACCCGGTCATTGGGGGGGGGGTCTATAAATGGATAAATCTTAATACATATTGATTAAAATCGGTTCCATTAAAAAAAGAGACGAGTAAAAACATGACGACTGACAAGGGACTAAAAAACTGTTTATTTGTTTGCTTTTTAAATAAGAAATTCACTGTAAAATTATATTAAGTAATTGTTAGTTTAATCTAAGACTCATTTTCACATGTACCCGTCATTCAGTGTTTATACAACTACTACTGAACCACAGTCTAAGAATCAACTGTTATGTAATCATCAAAGAACATTATCTTACACGGTAGTATTGCATTCTAAACAATATGTGTTGTTGAATGTACTAATTACAAATAAAAACGTTAAGAGAATGTTAAATGAAAATATCATGAAGATTACAACAGTATCAAACGTAATGTCCTATTGAATATGTAAAACACTATTGCAATATGATCAATAAGCAAATGATAACTTACAAATTTGGCGGTTTCACATTTTGCATAAGATAATCTACAACATTTGAGAATTCTTCTATAGTATACTCCCTTTTCATTGCGTCTAATACAGCATCTGAACCTGTGACAAAACCAAAACAAAAAAACAAAAAAAACAAGAAAATTGATCTTCAAATTACAACTTCTACCACCATTGTAAAGTAGTCTTGGATATGTACACCCTAATCATCAATTATTCAGACAATACGTAGATAAATGTGGTAAAATGCTGAAGACCTTAATTAATTATTTATTGAATTGAACACATAAGTATTGGTATAAGGGGGCACCAGATACATATGCGCCACACAAATCTCATTTGAGTTGTATAAGAACTGTGATAATGCCCCGGTGCCCAAATCGAAGCAGGACCTCAATAAGGAAATAATGTTTAGTTACAAAACAATTAGTAATAAAAAAATGAAAACTTACAGTGAAACAATGATTTGGATTTAATGAATTAATGTCAACACATTCAAGTTAGCAAGGTGAGTTATAGTCAAAAGCCTATAGGATTTTTGTCACTAACTGACATCAACTATAAATCGATGATGCTTTTCCATCATTTGATTTATACTAAGGGTTGATATTTTCTAATCAGAATTTAGAGTGAAAGAAAACTGCCTGGCTACAAAAACTACCTTGACCTATGGAGAGAATCAAATTAAGAATTTCAACACGAAATCTGCATCGAGAGCAGGTATTTCTTGTGATTCAGCTTAAGCATCGTGTAATATTCCTTGTTTGCTTGCTTAGATATTTTTATCCATTTCAAGCATTTTAGGAACCAAATAGTGTCAATGTTTTACCTAGTTAATAATAACATACAAGTTATCTTTCACTGAACTTTCAATTTTGCGCGAGCATGCATGAGGCTCTAACTTAATTCTGATTGGTTCACTCAACACCTTCAGTACAGTATACCATCACTATATATATACAGAGCAAATAGCCAAGAAATATAGATGTAGAAACGATTAACAGAGCTACTCTTATTACTGACATTACCTGTAACATTTACATAATGTTCTCCGGGAAAGTTTTCACAACTAAAGGATTATATATCAAGAAGAAAATGGTACATCTAGCAGACTACTACCTGCCAAGGATGTCACTACTAACCATTATTTAACTTTGATGAAAGAAAACTGAAATACCATATACAATGTTAGAAAAATTCCATCATAATCAGGACATGAAAATAAATTTTAAAAAATTTACCAGATTGAACAGGAATATGAAGAAATGAATACACTCTAGGATGTGACAATACTTCCGCGATTTCAACTAATTGATCTAATATATATGGCGGATTTGTCATACCCAAACGTAACATACACCCAGCAGGAATAATTGGGACAAGACCAGCCAATAGATCAGCAAGTGTAATGTGATGGGGCCATTTTTCAGATAATGAAGGACAAATAAGAGATGATGTATTCCTGTCTAAATCACGGCCGTAAGCACCAAGATCTTCCGAAGTAAGCCATAGTTCCTTAACACCTTCTAAAATTTTGAATAAAATACTCCTTTTTAAACCACTGATAATTTTGGTCAAAAACAGACTTGGTAAAGTATATTTTATCCTCATATCTTTTCATCAAACCCATTCTTCCTGACAAAGATCACTTTGAGAGAACCAAGACTAATTGTCATTGAGTAATATGACACAGACTTATTATGTAAGGATTGAAGAAATATTTTAAAATCTCAGCAATACACATTCATGACCTTGCAACCAGTAGTCGAACCCAGGACGTTGGGTCATGCCCCAAACGTATAACTGAACCGATAACCAACGGTTTACAAGTCTAACATAAATCAATTCACGATAGCATATAACCATCTTCCGTTGTCTGTTTCTAGCCCCCAAATGCCCTGGTACGGCCGAGAGTGGGGAGAGTCCGCTCCCCCTCTCGAAATGCTCTCACATGGCCACGCGTACATAGCCTCTGCCAGGGAGGTCCTACTCACTGCCTTCAAGTGGCGGGGGTGTTGTTTACAAAAATGAGAGGACGAAAAGCGAGTGTCCGGCGCTTTAACCGGATCCCAAATCAATGATGCACATGGGCTCCAGGATCCTGCGGGAACAAATGGTGTATGAACCAATCGTTGGTCACCGGCTACCATGGGACTGCATCTCCTCACGATGCTCCACTGCCTTGTGGATCAGATCTTCAGGTCGAAGGCTCGAAGTGTGGCCCCCTAATAAAACCACCTGCTTCGGTTTGGGCACCCGGGCAGTATCACAGCCCTCACACATATCAAATGAGATCTGTGTGGCGCATATGTATTTGGTGCCTTTTTGTACCGATATTTATGTGTTAAAATAAATAATAAATAAATGTCTGTTTCTAACAGCTTGCTGAGGGATAAATTATTGTTCATTCTCTAAACGCATATTCTGATAAAGCTTATCAGTTAATCTAATTCTCAGTTTATGATTAAAATAGGGAGAATACCAACGGAAAGCAGTGTAATACAAATCTATTTCTTGTTTAATCCATTGAATTATCATAGAAAACTTTACAGATACGTAGTTTCTATATACACAAAACCTAGATTATTATCATACTAACAATGAAGAAAAAACTTATATAAGAGATATGTTTATTTATTTATTTATTTAACACATAGATATTGGTACAAGGAGGCACCAAGTACATATGCGCCACACGAATCTCAATTGATTTGTGTGAGGGCTATGATACTGCTCGGGTGCCCAAACCGATGCAGGTGGTTTTCTTAGGGGGCCACACCCCGAGCCTTCGACCTGAACGTCTGATCCACAAGGCAGTGGAGCATCGTAAGGAGATGCAGTCCCATGGAGGCCAGTGACCAATGATTGATTCATACGCCATTTGTTCCTTCAGGATACTGGAGCCCATGTGCACCATTGGTTTTGGATCCGGTTAAAGCGCCGGACATTCGCTTTTCGTCCTCTCATTTTCGTAAACAACACCCCCGCCACTTGAAGGCAGTGAGTAGGACTTCCCTGGCAGGGGCTATGTACGCGTGGCCATGTGAGAGCATATCGAGAGGGAGAGCGGACTGTCCCCACTCTCGGTCGTACCAGGGCATTTGGGGGCATAAGAGATATGAGACAAACTGGAGTATGAATTGTACAAAATTACCACACCAAATAGGTTAAGCTAAATGATTGACAAACATCTAAATCTTAATCTTATATAATATCTACAAGGATGTTTTTATATATGAACTCAAACTAATATAATAAGTTGTGAAGGTGGAAAGATTGAGAAAATGACATTTATGTTTAATTGTTGATTTATTAAACTTGACAAGAATATGATTGAATTAGAAAGATTCTTAAAGCAAATAAATTTTCTTCTAATTATTCTCCACTTAAAATATCGAACAGAATTTGTTAGTGGGACATAGATTGGATTAAAGCATACTTAATGCACGATTGCTTTGGTGCACGTTGATTGGCTAATTCTCATCCAATCAGAGCTAATTGATACTTGGAGAATACTCTAGAAATCTTCTCATGTAAAAACTATAAATATACTAACGTTTTTCCTATTGTGCTCCTTGCTTCCATGTAACCTTGTTATTTGGGATATAATCTCTTCCCTGTTCAATTGTGTTCTGATTTGGGGATTTGTCGAGTGAATCTGTGTCCAAGAATACTAAGCAATAGGAATAGCTGGGTTATAACCGTAAGAGAGAAATATAACAGAATACATCATAAAAATTGTAACATGATGAATGACTTATTCCCTGAGATACATCAATAAATATACATATCTACACATTTTAATTTCACATACCATGATCAGTTGGGATAAGGAATAAATACATCAATTCATTTTCCCTTCTTAATAGTTTGGCGGTTAATTCAAAAGTTAGAGAGACTCTAGGTGATATGGCTCAGAATCGATCACAATGGCGTAGGTGTATACACTCTATGTCTTCCCTTAAACTGTGAGATTTAAATTGTTTTATATCTTTCTTTCCATGAATCACTTCTTTTTAAACTGTATCATATCCTTATACACAATCTTTCTTTGATATATTATTACCATCGAAGTAGCTACTTCTATGAATCCGGTATTTATCTGGTTGTGCTAATGAGGTATGGCAACTTGAACGGATGCATATATGTGCCTGATCCTAAGTTGTAGCTGACTGACTGACTGACTATGGAAAGCATAATACAAGTTCAAATTGAAAAGTACGATGTTGGATACATTATCGAAAATATAAAATAATAGAATAAATGCATTATAAACACAAACAAACCTGTAAATGCTTGTTTAGCACGATCTAATAATTGTTCAATAGGATAACTAGCTAATATACCACGAGCTTGTTTGGTTTTACAATATGTACATGCATTTAAACAACCTGTACTTATAGCCAATATTTCAATTAATGGATTACGTCGAATTTTCGGTAAATCTAATGCTACACCAGCTGGTGACGATGAATTTGTCATTGAATTAGATGATTCTGATGATGTACACTTTTTATCCAAAAATCGTACTACATTTCCTAAATTATTTATAGAAATATACATAAACAATGAAGGTGAGGAAATCTAACTGTAACAACAACAAAAAATGATAGAAAGTGAAATAGAGATTTTTCTTATTCTAAATTTTGATTAATATCACTATATGATCGGAAAAGATCTCATTAAATAATAGATTACGGAGATGTTTAGCCGAGCTTGAACCGATGTATATATGTGCCTGGTCCTAAAATAATCGATTAGAAAAGGTGTGTAGTGAACGACAACTCAGGTTACGATAACCAATATATTGTTCAATGCAAAATTATAGAATGTTTTCATAAAATATGAAAATCATACATTAAATGCTTCATTTGCACATCTATCATCATCAGTTGTTTCTTAAAGAATTCATCGTTCCTATATTCCTGTTATTAGTACAATTAATTTTTGTTTACATTCCTATTCTCTCTAATTCGATCTTCTCAATCTTCTGCTGCCAGACACATGAACACAATCGTTTTAAAAGTCAAAATGTTATCATCCACCATCCCACTAAGTTATAACAATCATTAAACTTGTTTAATAGATATAGTATTTATTATTATTGGTAGTGAAGTTTTAATATATATGACCGTTAATACTCGGAGTTAAGATTATTAGTTTCTATTGACCCATAAGGTCTATTATAGTGATAGCATAGTGATCAATACTCTGGTATTTGAATCTATAGCTAAACGAGATTTGAATCTCATCAGGAAGATTAACGCCCCAAAAAATGCCCTGGTACGGCCGAGAGTGGGGAGAGTCTACTCTCCCTCTCGAAATGTTATCACATGGCCACGTGCATAAAACCACTGCCAGTGAAGTCCTACTCACTGACTTTTCGTGGTGGGGGTGTTTACGAAAGTGAGAGGGCTAAAAGCGAATGTCCGGCGCTTCAACCGGATCTCAAACCAATGGTGCAAATGGGCTCCAGTATCCTGAAGGAACAAATGGCGTATGAACCAATCGTTGATTATTTATTTATTTATTTGAACACATAAATATTGTTACAAGGGGGGACCAAATATATATGCGCCACACAAAACAATGAGAATCCAAAGAGAAGGGGAAAAAAAGGTAAGGAACGTAGGGAGTTATAAAAAAATGGGAACAATAATGTGGGAAACGAAAAGGTACAATCAGGAGAAATCTTACAGTTAAGGAAGAAACAACCACTTTTTATGAAGAAAGTAAAAGAAGGTTACAGAAGGATCGCCACTGGATTCTATTCTGAGCCATATCTGATAACGTTTCTAGCCACTGTGTTACACCATCTCTTGGACCCCAGCCAGGGAGTCGTGAAGGACCAACAGAAGCCAGCCCTTTGCAGCTTTCCTTCATACCACGACATCATGTCATCGACTACCATGGGACTGCATCTCCTCACGATGCTCCACTGCCTTGTGGGTCAGATTTTCAGGTCGAAGGCTCCGGGTGTGCCCCCCCAAGAAAACCACCTACTTCGGTTTGGGCACCCGAGCAGTATCACAGCTTTCACACAAATCAAATGAGATTTGTGTGGCGCATAAATTTCTGGTGCCCCTTGTACCAATATGTGTGTTCAAATAAAGAAAGAAAGAAAGGTTAACACTAAGGAACCAAACGTTTCCACCGAGTCTTGAGATTGAGAATCCCATGTACATAGAGATACTGACCAATTCGATATTGAATTTTAAAGAGAAAAATTACATACCTTCATAAATATTAATATAAGTCGTAATTCAGTGTTAATAGATACGTTCAATGTTATTCTACGTTGAGTACTTCCCATCTACCTGCAAGGAATTTTATGAACTAACTGAATGATTATTTTATGAAAACAGTTCAAAATTATAGACAGTTAGATATCAAATCCATGAAATTCCAATAAAGGATTGATGATAACAACCATGCACACTAAGACGTTGGTAATATATAAAGTTAATTTTAATACACTAAAAATTGGGACACATACACTCAGACAATAACTAACCTTGTAATGTTTCTTCAACAACCTCAACAATACGATCGATTTGATGCACACCAATAACACTAACGCCCTGAGCAGAAAAAGAATTAGGCACGTTAATCAAATAACACGTTGAAGATAGTTAACAATCCGTCATAAACAGCATAGGTTTTGACATAATGTGTATAGGTTTAACTTATCTCGATTTACATTAGCACAGTCAATTTGAAAAAAGAATGAGAACAAGCAGTGGTGTGTACCTGTATCCCACTCAGTTCCTACAGTTTCATCAAGTCATACAGAATCAACCCAGTCCGAAAATGTTTGATCTACTTTAAGCATGATGTTATATCTCAGTCCACTAGACTAAGGGGAATTATAGCTAACAGACAAATCGGTATGATTACACAAAGGTAGAGTGATCACTGGATTCTTATCAGGTATACGTAGAGATAATGTGCGGACCTGGAAGTTATCAACATCGGTGGAGAGTAAAAGCCAGAAAACACTAAGTAAAGTTATCTAAAATATTCTCATATAAAGATAGTGTAAAACCGTAAACATTACGAAATCTAGGAAATATAAAGAACTGAGAAGAGAACAAACATCGAATAGATAAATAAAACATTATACAATGCTACGAACCTTTAAGTAATCTGCACCTGGTCGACTTTGCGGTACACAACCAGCGGCAACAACACGTTTGCCAAGTTTTATTCCCTCTAAAACAGCATTTCTAAAGTGATCCTCAGCTGGACCTTTAACTGTACAGCTGTTCAAAACCCAAACATCTGCATTCTTTTTCGCATCGCAATTTGAAAGTACAGCTTTGCTTTTATCCGAGTTTTTTTCTTTCGAACAGCATTGATCACCGTTGTCTTGGCATCCACAAGCTAAATCTGATGTAGAACTGATATCTCCCTCCGACACACAACCATTTGTAGACTGTGAACCATCCAGTGTAACTTGATATCCATATTTGGCTAGTAGTCCGGTCATATATTCACTGTCACTAGTATTATGTGCACAACCCCATGTTTGTACAAAAACATGAAATTTTTCTAGAAAAACATCAAAAACACACTTGAATATAGCACAAACAATAGGCATATCAACTAGTTTGTAATTTTCTCAAATATTAACGTCAAAATATGTATTTGTTCCCTAGGTATTGTTATTATAACACACTACATTATTAAAAATATCGTTGTAACGAGCCGATAACTCGTGATTGAATCAGAAATTTATAAGGAACGTAGAACGGGATACAAAAGCATCTCGATTTACAATGGCGAGTGAGAAAATACCAAAAGAAAGAAAAAGTCATTATAAACAAGTGAAACGAGAATAAATTGTACAGTTAAGGTTAAGATTTAAGGAAAGATGAAACGAAAGCAGGCAACTACTTAAATGACTGAATTTTAACTCGACAAAGTGATATATTTGGTCAAAGATAGTTTGAATGTTCGACAATAAACTCTTGGTATTGATTTCAACCTAGCCAACAATCAATAACAATACTTAACTACAATTGTGATGGAACTGAAACGATGTCAACAAGCAGAAAAAAACTGTGACGACGATTTTCTGTAGGTCGTCTGCAATTACCTGATACCAGTCAACATTTTCAATTCACAGAGTAGTGTCACTAAATTTCGAAGCTACCCAGAATTTGAAGCTCACTGACCAAGCCATCCTTCAATCAATGTGGTTTATGTTCTAATTCGCAACTAAAAGGGTAAAGATGCACAGACATTTTCACACTTTACATAATATGGTTCACTACACTAAACTAAGAGGACTTATATGAATCTTCAACTAGACGTCAGTGAATCAGCTCAAAAAGGTGAGTTTAAGAAATTACTACGTGAATAAAAATCATACACGGCAAAGAAATTTTTAAAAAAGATACAAAGAAAAATACTAACCGGGTAAGTTACTACTAAGACACAAATCATCAGGAATATTTTGCTTTTTATTTCTAAATCTTGTCTTTACTAGTACAGAAGATTCTGTCTCTGGTCTATCGTGTTCAGCAGATAAATCTTCAATATCCATTAGCAGGTATGAAAGTTTGTACTATATAAGAGTGCATAAAATCTGGAATCTAATAAGCAAGAATGATTGATTAGCAAACAGAAACATCAAGTATTTGAAAATGTTAAGATTCATATAAATGGGTAACAAACAGATTATTTAAACTGGAACAAACAACTACATTTAGATTTTGAATTGGTGGTTACTAACTGTAAAACCGCTTCAATAACATTTGTCCTTATGACTACACAGAATAGAGATTATAAAAACGTGATCAAGTTATTAAAAAAATGCTACCAACTTGGTGGTAGACCCAAAACTCACTATATTGGTATTATTACCAACAGAAAGGGTTTTTAGAAGCCTCGAAACTCATTGAAAGTACATGCTTACAATCCCTTTACTTATTCCCATGAAAGAAGAAAGATAAGAAAATCATTTTGAGTTCTGCACCCAGATAAGTAAAGATTGAAAAGCTAAACTGAAACTTGTTAGGTAAATAACAAAGTGAATTGTTTTCCAACGTTACTTAACATCATATCTAGATGCAAACGAACATCAACTCATGTTGATAATTGTAACACTTAAAAATTAGGGGCAGTTTTAATGTAGAATTATTTAAACATAAATACTGAAACAAAGGAGAACCAAAACATACGAGTCACACGAAGTAAAAATCTTTTATTTGTTTGTGCTGAGATACTGTCCTGGTGCCAATATCGAAACACGTGGCTTTCTTTGGAGGCCGTATGATAATAACAATTTAGTTTTAATTGTCATTTACATTCAGTATCCCTGTGATGAGTCTTTGTGAAGTTACTGACTTTTTAGTATCTCTTCCTGATGTTACTCTACAGTTCGATGTTTTCCGTATCGTCCGATATGGGTAGGATAGTCACTCAGATGAGCTAATACTGGTAAAGTTGGCGGTATCAGAACGACAATTTATGGACCAGACCATTAGGTATAAGATAACAGGTCTAGGATTTTGGCGCGAAATCCATCCATCCATTCAACTAAATATCGTATTTTATTTTGGCTGATGTCAGTTCGTGATGAAAAGCAAAACCCTAATTCTCATATTGGTTTATGAACCTCATTTGGTCTTAGTAAGTAGATGGACATTCTTAATGTTACCCTAGCGTCGCTCAAAGGTCGTCCATAGATTATAGTCTTATACTGAGGAAGGGAAATAGCTGATCACATAATGAAAAGTTATGGAATTTAAATGCAAACATGTGGGAAAACAACGGTCAGCAGAAAAAAATGAACCAACTAGGCAAGCAATATAAAGAACTGGGAGGAAAATGAACAAGAATGACAAGGGGCAACATGGGGCGAAATCAGGATAATAGTAAGGTACGTGACAGGTGTCAAGTACACATGATCCAGACGTTGCTATCAAGCCCTCTAAAACAACTGTCTAGTAAAGAGATTATCGTCACACCATCTGATAGAGCACTGCAAGTAAGGTCGACCTATATTAACAGTGGCTTTAGCTCGGCATTTTCTCAATGACGTGCGATTCGCCACTGATTACGTTAGAGATGATTATGTTGAAGTTGTTGTGTGTCTTTTTGCTAGAATGACCTGGAGTATACCCCCAGGCGTAGCTTCAACTCTTGTGATTGTACCTACTACGACATGTTGCAGGGTGCTAGATTAAGTGATTGTGTCATACAGCGTACAAATAACAAAGACTTTAAATCCACTTAACCACAGAAAAAAAGAACGAATCTACACCTGTTCAAGTGGGAATTGGCTTTTATTTATAGTGGATCCATTCACTTACACCACACCTTTCACCTCTCGGTACCGAAATATCTTAAAAACACGACGAAATCTTCAATTCTCAAACTTTTGACAAGTGTTAGTTTAGGTGACCCAGAATTTTGAGTGCTTTTGCATTATTATGAACCACTTTAAAGATTATCCTGTTGTTTCATGATCCAGGATTCTAAAAGTTCAAATGGTTCAAATGGTTGTGAACGGGATAGAAGAAGCTTTCGTTTATCGGTATTCCGTGTCTAGTAGCAGCGGAGAACCAACACCTTCAGGTAAGAACCTAGGTATATTAACGATAAATGAGGAAAAAGAAATCGGTAAATCGTAGTAACATACTATCTTTAGTCCTTAAGAATATATCGAGTTTTCTCTTACAGGACTCCTGGGAAGTCTCTTGGACTAGCTCAGCCGGCAGCGAACGCCAGCATTTGATAACTTTTAAGGAGAGAAAATTGTTTCCACAGTCCGTTCTGCTGTGTCGAGTTTATAATTTCTCGAAGTTACCCCTAAGGTTTGTGTCGGAACTAAACATAAGTAAGTGTTTAAGAGCATATTCAGAATTGTTAAGGATACTGTAAGCCATTAGAAGGTTACCTCTAAGACTCCTATGTTCTAATGGGTAAAGGTCAAGTGATTGGAGGCGCTCTTCATAAGGTTTAAACTTGAGTCCCCAAACTGATTTCGTGACTCGCCTTTGGATACGTTCCAGAGTGTCCTTATCCTTTTGGAGTGAGGGAGGAAATACTGTTTCCGTATTCTAAACGAAAGCGAATAAAACCGTTGAAGATTATGTGGAAAGTTCTTCCGTCAAGCTGGCCCAAAGTACACTTCAATATTTCCAGTACAAAATTTGCTCGAAAGGCATTTCTTTCGCAGTTGGCGTAAGACCTCGAATCGTAGGAGACCAACACTCCTAGACCTCCTGCATTTTATAATACCTCTAAGGGGGAGCTACCAAAGATTTTTCGAGTCTGCGACATGTCTCAGATAGCCTACTTTAAGTCCGTCACCATTTTCCCAAATTTAAAGTCGAGTTACATTCTCATGACGTGCCAGTATATCCTGAAGGTCGCGAATCTCTCTCCAAAGTCCCACATCATCAGCGAAAAGTGAAAAGTCTAACGATACCTGTTGTGGAAGTTCGTTAAGCGGATCAAGAAAAGGAGAGGTCCTAGTACTGGACACTGAGGGGCCCCACCAGGACATTCGATAGTCTGAGAGAATTTAAAGCTAATGCCAATCTCAAAATGTCGATTTTTTGGATACGAAGTGAGCCAAACGACTAAAGGTGATACCTGATCGTTTGAGCTTATTAATAATACATTTATGGTTGACTATATCAAAAGCTTTTGAGAAGTCAAATAAATGACGTCAACCTTCCCACTTGTGATCAAAGATATTTGCCCATCTGTCCACCACAGGCAGCAGGTTGGTTATACAAGAATGACCGTTCTTGAAACCATGCTGTTCGGGTGAAAAGAAGTTTACGGATAATAAATAGTCGTGCATACCACCGCATATCAGGAACTCCACAATTTTAAATGGTATATAGAGTAGGGCCATCGGTCGGTAGCTTAAAGGTTCGCTTCGTCAACGTCCTTTAAAAATTGGTGTGATTTGAGCCAGCTTCCAATTTTCCGGTAGTTTTCCTCAGCTTAATAAATGTGAGAACATCACGCTAAGTGATGTTGCCAGAATTGAAGGTGCTTCCATCAGTATAGTAGAGTAAACCATAACCGGACATGGAGAAGTGTCTTTTCTTGCGCGTTGCAGATTCCGTCACACCAAATCAGCGCTTAGGTTCACTTAGGAAAGTACTGTGCAGTTGCGGATGAAGCTTCTATCAATATAGTTAATGTGAGTCGGTTGAAATATCCGAGAGTAATGTTCAGCCAGAAGGTTAGCGGCGTCGAAGAGAGGCTGCATAGCGGAATAAGCTTTGTGGATTGGAGACAAATATATCCATAAGCTTTATCTGGTACTGAAGCCTGTCTTCTCTTTTTGCCTTCGTGTATATGTTCCTTATATGTATGTATTGCCTGTATGCGTCGTTGTTATCAGTTCATTTGTATTCTACTCATTAGTGTCTTTTGCGGCTTAGAAAATGAAGAGTGTGGTTCTAAGTGACTGTAGGTTGCCTGTAGCTTATGAGGACCGTTTGAGGAACTGACAGCTTTGTAGCACATAAGAGCGTGTGCAGTAAGAAATCCCAATGAGCATCCACATCAAGTTGAGATTGATCATCCCAACCCACTTGTTATAGGTAGACCTAAAAGCTAATACATTCAGCCGTTTGAGCTACCAGAACCTGTTTATGGTGGGGTACCTTTGCTCAATTTTGCTGATAAAACTGAAGGCCAGGACAGCGTGATCCCTTTCCCCCAGAGGGGCCAGGGTTACAAGGTTGTCAATTGAGAATTCCTCATTTGTAAGTACACAGTCTAAGAGCGAATGTGTTTGACCCCCTCCAACGAGTTGCCGATTTCACATCTTCAAATATTCCCAGATCCGCAATGAGGTTGAAGAACCGAGCTTCAGTTGAGTTTTCACCTCGAGTGTACTGACTTCGGGAAGACTGAAGTCCTCAGGAATCAGGAAATGAATGAATCCGAGACGCGTAGAGCGTGATAATACTTCCAGCATACGATTGTCTTACACGTCTTCATCAGTGGGCTTCCTGTAGATAACTTTAACTAAACACCTCGTTGTGGTAGAAAATCTTAATGAGTGCCATACTGATTCGTCAAGACTGATGAACTCCTTGTTATGCACGCGATGTACCTCCAGTCAGGATCGTAAGTATAAGGCTACTCCAACCACAATTCCTGTTTTTCTGTCGTTGCGAAACAAAGACATCCCGGGTATTGCTAGCTCCTGGTCTGTAGACCGGGAAGAAATCCAAGTTTCAGATATTCCTAACAGATGAGCATTATTAGCATTGCTGAGTTCACGTAGCTCATCCATTTTATTCGGTAAACATGTGGCATTCATGTATAAGGAGTCTGTGCTTCCAATTTGAAACGTGTGGGCTCCCCCGTCCTGTTTGTCTGTATGAGCCTTACGTAGATAGACAGGTAGCCTGTCTTTACGAGCTAGTAGCCCCTGTTCTTTCCACGTTTTATTTAATAACCTAGGCAGTTCAGAGGTGGAACGGCCAGATCCAGCTTGCTTTTGTACTCGATACCGGCGTCATATGGCTTATCCGGATGCATATGCATTCCATTTTGCAACCGGTGTCTGTGAAAATGAAATGTGCCCAGCCAACATATAGGAGGATGGAAAGATTTTTTTCATCAGTCGAGGTCTAGAATATCCGGCTTTCCTTGTTAGTCTCATCATTTGTTGAGTCAATATGTTTTTGAGCCTCGTAGACTGCTTGATGAATTCGCATTCCCGAATAGTGTTAGTGTGATCAGAGTACTTTTTTTCTGGTACATCTTGCACAATGATATTCCCTTCGCGGAAAAAACATATTGCGCGATTCTTTAGGACATTCAGGATGAAATTGTGTTAAGAATACTGCAGTATTCTAACGTTCTCAGCTGATATAAATATGCACCGATTGGCCACATAACATCGCTAGTTTACGAATGTTATCTCTTTAAGTTCTGTACGAAATTAACATTTTGAACTGGTCAAAAGAATCACCAAAATACTTTATGTTGTTGCATGTCGTATGGTCGTCACCAAATGTTTTATAATAAGGGTGAAGATGATAACTTAAGACCTTAAACCGATTTTTTCATCCGTTTTATGTGAAGCGTTTCCAAGAGAAAAACATTATATTTTCGTTTTATGAAATGTTTTGAACAAAAATACATGAAAAATTCGTGAAAAGTCTTGTGCTGAAGAGAAAAAATCCTTGAATAAGAAGTTCCATGAGTCACGCACACTGACTGTGACCTCATTATTTTTACTGGACACACATATACAACTGATCACGTTGTGCTAAACATCGCTTGTAACACCTAATCAGCTTATATCAGATGCCTCCTGATATAAAGATAGACTTTCAAATATATCCTCGGACCACTTGGTCTTTACTTCTGGTTTGACTGGGTTAGGATACTCCGGTTATAAATGTGTTGTATGTGAAGGCGTTGTCGAACGCCGAATATCTTTAGGTTCAGCATCAAACAGTTCAAAAATTGAGCTCTGATTACTAATTTGTCACAGTCATAATATAGTTTGAGATTGTAGAGGACTAAGTTGTCCAAACCAATCTTGATTTTGATATAAAATGACTAGTCTTGTTAACGTATTATCTTAATGTACGTATAGAGAGGGGAAAGTACTGTAAACCGTCCTTAGTATCAGATATCTCGCACAACTACCTCTCATTGGGAAATTCCTTTTAATCTAAATGGCATAATTGAGAGAACTATTATTTCAGTGTTGCCAACATCCTCGGCACGGCTGATTTTTTGTTCGACGTTTCTGATTAGAAGATTGGTACTGTCATAACATTTTGTGACTTCGAAGGCAGTTGATTGGATCAATCACTTTTGGCTTGCCTACAATCTTGGCAATATGAACATTCAGCTCTGAGTGGTCAACTGGCTTGAGTCATATTAATGTATTACACATTTCAGAAAACTGAATAGGTATATTCCAACGGAGTAAAAAGATTTAAGATTTAGATCATAACCATCTTTTCGTGGGTGGCTTTCCGGACTAAGCTGCAATCCCCTAGTGTTTCGAGTAACCTTAAACCAGGTCAATCTCACTTCAGTTATACCAACCTTCGTTGACAAAATACATTTGATTTCGTATTCTTTTCCTTTGTGTCCCATAGTTATTATCTTCACTCAGAAACAAGTAATAGGATTGCATACCCAAAATATCATCTATCCGACTGTTTGTTAGTGTCAAGCATTCACCTCACAACAGGATTACAATCAAATCCACTGGAAACAGCCATCATTTCTAGATCCAGATTACATTAACGACAATCATAGTGTCATTGGTATTACAGAGTCTTATCAACAACCTCAAGTTTAAATTGCAAAAGAGCCAGTGACTCATAACAGACTATATCGTCACTAGATTATCATGACTAACCAATGCATTACACAGAATAGGATAAACAATTGAAGTCAAAATATTACTCGAGAATATTCTTTGTTAATATAGACAAAAGTAATGTGTAATACAGAATTTAATCAAGTTTGTAAAGTGTGTAATGATTAACAGTCAAAAGTATATCACAAAGAATGTAATCGATAGAAAAGAGAGAAATATGTTTATGATTGTTTTTTAAATAATTTCGGTGTAGTATAAATATCTAAACGCCGTTGTCGACCGATTGGAATACTTTCACGAGCACATTTCAATTCAGAAAAGTCTAAATCAGCTGTTATGATTTCCTCCTACAAAAACATTGAAGATTTTTAATGATTAGAAACATTTCTACAAATTCAATGACAATAACAAAATTACAGGATACGTATGAAAACAAGCGAACAGTATGTTTAGATCATTTAAGTAAAACACAGTGATGTTGAGTTGAGTAACTTCTTTGTAATTGAGTGAAAAAAAAGTCCTGACAAATGAGCGGTACATTTCGATTGTCCAATTAGAGTGAGAGGTCGTGATCTATGATGCCGAAATTGTCATGAACTACGGGACAAATACACTGGTGAATAAGATGGACAAGATTTAAGTGCTAAACAATACAATCTGTAGGTTCTCCTAGGCAAAACAGCACCATCTTTGGTGAAGTTTTAGATTAATTTACAGTATATTGTATCGTTCAAGTAAACTAGTGGGATTCAGTTGATCTGATGACATACTGTGGTAGCAAATTGTGAATACTTACAAAGTATCAACTACTCTACGGGGAATAAACAAGAGAAACTTTTACTCTTTAATCTCAGACCAAAATTATTGGAGATGAAAAACAAATCATTGACAGAAAAATTTACCAGATCTATTAAATGATGACATACAGTTATTCTGAAATTAAGTGAATCGATAAGGAGACTGTGCCATGGAAGGCAGTATAAAAACGAAAAACATGATGTGAGATTACTGAGCAATAAAAATTAAACTTCATTTAAATTATAAATTCCCTTGGTATTATTTGTTTGAATCTTCCCATTGATGTTTAGGACTGTAATAGCCACAAGTAAGTAACTATGATGACTCAGCAGCTAAGTGGATAACGCAATGGCATTTGAAGCGAATGATACTGAGTTCGAGTCTCAGAGTGAACGTCAACTGTGAGATGCAGGTACATCCAGCTGACGAGTCCCAAATAGGACGAAATTCGCATCAAACTGGATCCCACTGCTAAACACTATCCATCTTTGCACATTTATTTAAAGTAAATTATGAAAAAGTAACACATAAAAGCTTGTCTACGTCACCCTACCATTTAAAGATGAGCTAGATGGGCTCAAGTCAGCTGTTAATAAAATGTACTGTGCAGCAAAGGTTGCCTCAACATACTCAAGGGGAAAACCAAGGTCCTCAAATACAACACAAAGAACAGCAATTCAATCACTCTTGATGGAGAAACTCTGGAAGATGTAGAATCCTTCATTTACCTGGGAAGCATCATCGATGAACAAGGAGGTTCAGATGCAGACGTAAAGGCGAGGATTGGCAAAGTAAGGGCCACATTCCTTCAATTGAAGAACATATGGGACTCAAAACAACTTTCAACCAATATCAAAGACACAATCTTCAATACGAACGTCAAGGCAGTTCTATTGTACGGTGCCGAAACGTGGAGAACTACAACAAACACCATCAAGAAGGTACAAGTATTTATCAATAGCTGTCTACGCAAAATACTCAACATCCATTGGCCGAATATCATCAGCAACAGCCCGCTGTGGGAGAGAACCAACCAGCTTCCAGCTGAAGAGGAAATTAGGAAAAGACGATGGAAATGGATAGGGCATAACATAACGCAAATCATCAAACTGCACCACGAGACAAGCGCTAACTTGGAATCGTGAAGAGAAGCGGAAAAGAGTAAGGCCAAAGAACACTACGTCGGGAAATAGAAGCGGATATGAAAAAGGATGAATAACAACTGGGAAGAACTGGCAAGGATTGTCCAGGACAGGGTTGGATGGAGAATGCTGGTGAGCGGCGTATGCTCCTACGCGAGAAGTAACAGGCGTAAGTAAGTAGCAAAGCTTATTATCATTGGAAAAACAAGGTCCTTGTTTCACCGGAAACCTAAACGGCATATAAACGATTGTGTCACATCACACAGTTTATTTTAAACAATTTACATGTGTGCTACCACACATATATGGGAAGTAACCGTGACTTGTAAGTTATGGTCTTTGGACATATATCAAAATGATTACAATAATAAATAAAATCAATCATATAGTAGAAACAGGTCATCAGACTGATGTTAACATAGACCTGGTAGTTTTGTACAAAAGTTGTCTAGAGTTTATCGAGGCCTTGGTCATACTTAAATTCAACCCCCCCTTTATGTATACAGAAACAGTTTGATTTCAATATTAAAAATCTACCCTGATAATATTGATTTATTATCTAGAGTGGTGAGTTACTCACTGTTTTTCATATTATTTTCTTCAATGTCATTGTTTCGTTTTATTTTCCATACATAACTATTCAACAACAAGTATACGAGTGATTCGATTATTCAAAATGTACTGAGCTAATATATTTGCGTCTTGTTACTACATTATCATTTAAACACGTCGACATTTTAGGTTGAATTCATCAGAGGAATTAGATTTCAAATAATTGAAGTGCCTAGACTGATGATTGCAATATCTAGTCTCTAATAATTACATATAAGATTATACACTATAAGACTCCAGGGAATCATAGCCAGTTGAGTGTTGTGTGTACTAGAGTGATAGGTCCTGGGTTCGAATCTCGCGGGGCGGGATCGTGGATGCGCACTGCTGAGGAGTCCCACGATGGGACGAAACAGCCTTCCAGTGCTTCCAGGTTTTCTATGGTGGCCTAGCTTCAATTGACTCATGATCTCAACCATTAAAACATAAATAATTGTGACCAGTAGTTAGAGACGTCGAATAATATGGCTTAGAATCGATCACAATCACACAAATGTATTTAGTCTCTGTCTTCTCTCTGACATTTTTCCTAATTATCTCCTCTTGCTGGGATAATAGAATAGGATATGACAACTTATATCGATGCACAGGTTACATAAATCTATCAATAGTTCACTTTCATAAAATTGATCTGAAAAGTTTTTAAATTCCAGTGAATAGTGAAATACAGTGAATTATTATTAATATTATTTGTCAAATACTTACCTCTTTACCGCCTTTAGCTATAACTATACCCCATGGTGAAGTGATCAATGATTCAGCATGACTTATATAGTCTAATTCTAGATTACAGGCTGGACTACACATTCCAACATAACATTGTGTGTCTAAAGCACGTGCTCTACCCAATAATTCCCAATGTAAAGATCCTGAGTTTTTTTTGGAAGGGGGGGAAGGAGAAGTGAAAATTGGGAAAGAATAGAGATATCACACATAAAATAAAGTATACTTTCTAATTATTGAAGTAAAAAATAAACACAGTTACAAGAACATTTGTTGTTCAGAAAAAAAAGACTACAAGTTTCATACAAAACCATTACTAAACATAGTAGATAAATAGACAAAAAAAAACTGTACTCCCTTGTCTAAGTTAAAGTATTCAAAAATCATGCCAAGTCAATTTGACACTATTAATGTAAATATCAATATAATAATTATCACTATATAGTTGTGGAGAATGTTCTGTTTAGATTGATATCATGAACGGATCAATGTAAGATCACCACTATAAACCTAGAAGTACTTGAAGGCTGTTTCGTCCTAGTATGGGATTTCTCAGCAGTGCACATTCACGATTCCGAAGAGTGGTACAATAAATAATAATAATAATAATAATAACCATTCATAAAAACTGGGTAATGAGACTAAGACGATCCTGGCTACAACATAGTCAGTTTATATGTTACTAGTCATGTTAAAATAATGGCATATTTGTATTGTTTAAACTATTCCCTAAGTTACTCAACTCATTAGAGTAGTAATCAATATCGTACTATCTATTACTTAGTGATGATCGGATTTTATCGATCAAGTAATATATGATCATAATTTATTCAGTGTATTGACAACTCTATTCACATTTGTTCAATATTAAAACGGTTCGAGTTATTCAGTAAAAAGTCATTTATTCAGATCGATATTAAATAATAGGATATTTCTATATAGAAAGCTAGGGGCGGCCAGACCAAAACATGGCACAAATCCATGAAGTCATTGACAAGTGGACTGAGTCATGTTGGTAGGTGTAGACTACCTGGTTGAGGACCGCGAGACGATAGCAACCGATGGTTAGAGACCTTGAATGACATGGCTGAAAATCGTTTGCAATGGCGCAGGTGCATCCACTCTTTGTGTTCTCTCAAATTCTAATCTTCTGAATTCTTCATGTCCTTTATTTTCTTTCCCAATTTATTCCACTGGACTATACTCCTTTAATAACATCATCAAACCTTAATGTCCCCTATCTCTACTTATACTTTCAGTACCTCTACCACTATGGGATTTGAATCGATAACTGAATCTCTGTGCTAATGTGGTATGGCAACTCGAACTGATGTACGTACGTACGTAGTTCCACGTTGTTACTGACTGACTATTTCTATATAATATTTGAGGATATGATGCTTCATCCGTAGTGTATTTAGAATTATTCTGATTGAGAAATGAAATCCAGTGAGATTAATTAATCTTAATGGCTAATTTGTGTAAAAATTACTAAAGTCATACTTCATTCATTTTAACACATAAGTATAGGTACAGGGAGGCACCAAGTACATATGCGCCACACGAATCTCAATTGATTTGTGTGAGGGCTATGATACTGCTCGGGTGCCCAAACCGAAGCAGGTGGTTTTCTTAGGGAGCCACACTCCGAGCCTTCGACCTAAAGGTCTGACCCACAAGGCAGTGGAGCATCGTGAGGAGATGCAGTCCCATGGTAGCCGGTGACCAACGATTGGTTCATACGCCATTTGTTCCTTCAGGATACTGGAGCCCATGTGCATCATTGGTTTGGGGTCCGGTTAAAGCGCCGGACATTCGCTTTTCGTCCTCTCATTTTCGTAAACAACACCCCCGCCACTTGAAGGCAGTGAGTAGGACTTCCCTGACAGAGGCTATATACGCATGGTCATGTGAGAGCATTTCGAGAGGGAGAGCGGATTTTCCCCACTCTCGGCCGTACCAGGGCATTTGGGGGCAAAGTTATACTGCCTAGTCATTAATAATCAATGAACCCAATTTTAGTAAATTTTTATCCTCTGAGTTAAAGAGTTTAACTGTGAAGCTTTCATTAATCCTTATAAACAACATCATCAGCACAAATTTCAGCTAGAAGTGAAGTATTTAAATTATTCTACATATAACTGACAACTTGTCCTGTTGATCATAATCTTTATTGATTATTATTGTCGATACATCTATTTTGATTATTTCTTTTATTGATCTAATTGTTGATTCTATATTTGTGTATGTGATTTTGCTAATCGATTGATAAATTGAGTCGATTATGATTTTGTTTTTGTTTTTTTTTTCTATTGATTTACATGAATATTAAGCTTCTGAAGAAAAAAAACAAAAAGATTCTCTGACCTATTCATTATACACCTCTTATTCAAAAATATTAACGTTTTTCCAATTGAACGTGTCCATAATTTATTCAAGTCCATCAATATAAACTAAGATACAATGTTATAACATTTAACAGTTAAGCTGATATTCATGACAGATGAGTCAGTCAGTCAGCTGCAACGTAGGACCAGGCACGTGTATATGTATCGGTCCAAGTTGCCATACCGCATTAGCACAACAAGATGAACACCGGATTCATAGAAGTAGTTAATTCAGTGGTGGTAATATATAGAAGAAAGATTGCATATAAGGAGATAGTACAGGAAGGTAGAATTAGTTCCTAGAAAGAAAGATTTGAAGTAATTTTAATCTCTTAGTTTAAAGGAAGACAGAGAGTGTATACACCGACGCCATTGTGATCGATGAAGATGAACATGGTGTAAAATTTGTTCAAATTAATATTTTATAATGTTGAGACAGTTTATTTTTGTTAGAATTTGTGAACTGTGTACCCTGTTAATGGATAATGTAATGATACCGCCAATTAGGGAGTAGTGAATTGTCGATTAAATCAAGCACGCGTAAAACCCGTACGAGTGGTCTACAGTCTTGATTGACCCTGTTTTCCTCCTAGCCCAGCCAGTTAAATCTAGAACGCTAATCTCAACCACTGCAATATGAATCATTTATATCAAACATAGTGGGTATATATACCAACCAAACAGACCACATCACACCATAAAATAGAAAATAACATTTGTGCAAAATTTGACCAAATGTGGCTGTGAATGTAGGAGTAGTGACTAATAGACAGGGCATAATTTAAGAATGGTAAATCATACAATAACAGTTTATAAATCAAAAAATAAAGCTCATAATAAGAGGGACACGATTATGAATAGACTAGTTATTTAACAATTATACAATAAAAATATACGTATAGTATTGGTCCATAAATGGATCCGAAAAGTTACCATTCATTATGCTTATCAAGTACCTAACAATTTTATATATGATGTTTAGCTAGTCTCCAATTGTTATTGTGTCCCTTGTTTGAACATGATCCATCATTGAATTCTAAACATTATACTTATATTAATTACACTGGTTGAAATCATGAATCCATTGAAGCTAGATCACCATGGAAAACCTGGAAGCACTGGACGGCCGTTTCGTCCTAGTATGGGACTCCGCAGCAGTGCGCATCCACGATCCCGCTCCTCGCGAGATTCGAACCCAGGACCTATCAGTCTCGTGCTAGGCGCTTTAACCAACTAGACCAACTAGACTAATTAGTAAAATTTACAATACGCCAAATTAAATGAATCTATTCTATTCAATAATGATGATTGTTCTTAATTTACGATAAACGATAATCAAGGGTAATAAATATATGAGAAAAATAGAATAGAATTACAGTTTTCTTTCGTATATAATATTAAATAACTAAATTGTTTGACTAAAGTTTAAAACTATCAAATGTACTGAACGAGAACACAAGTAGAGACTAATCGAATATGGGTATTAGGACTCAGTAGCTAAGTGGATAATTTTAATGACAACTAATCGAATGTATCTGAACATAAACTTATAGAACATTATAGTAAAATCTGAGAACTATACAGTAAATACTTAATTTGTAAAATGTCAATCGATTGTCTCAAACTTAACTGTTCCTGCATTTTCATCATACCTATTACTCTCTGTTCTCATTCTTTCCTTCTTGACCTTCTACTGCCAGATATTCTAATCCTCACTAGCGTTATGTAATACATATGTCCATATAAGTAGAAAACATTACACCAAGACCAAGAACAAACAGTGTTAATCTGACAGAAATTTCATTATTTATAATGGTAATCTGAAAACTAATTAACTTCAAAACTTATTTTTTGTTTTTAGTTAGTCTTAGTTATCATCACTTTTGTACAACATTGTAAGGTGCTAAACTAGCAAACATCTCGAGTATAATTTGGTTTGAAATGGTTTGATTTATCCAATTGTTGATAATGTTTTGATTGTAACTTGATCAATCTTGATTGGTATATAAGTTGCTTCGATATAACTGTTATATTAACTGGTGTCAATGCAATTCACAAGATTGATGAAATTTCTAACAAGATATATCAACAATAGGATATTTTAGACCATTTCAAATTGAATTAACCATATAATTGTTGAACAAATAAATGGTTATATGAGCTTAGAAGCTAAACGGATAATGCGATGATATTTAATGACGATGGTACTTGGTTTGAGTTCCAGAATGAATATAAACTCTAGGACACAGGTAAGTTCAATTGATGTGTCCTAAATAAGATTAAATGCATATCCTTGATTGTATTGCTACCCATATTCCATCTATTCTATATTACATCGAATGATATTATTGCATTCATTTACACTTTCGAAAAGAATTCATTTTAACTAAACGCTATAAAGATAAAAAAAATCCCTATTTTCTAATTGGTCTAATAGTAGTAGTGTAGTGAACAGAACACAGGTAGGGACAATTGAATGTATTTAACAACAAATTACAGAACTAGTTAGTAAAATCCAACAACTATATATTATATCGTTAATTTGCAAATTGTTCATCAATTGTCTCAAATGACTCAGAATCCTTTTGTTCTTGCATTTTCATACAAATTTCATTCTTTGTTGTTCGATCTTCTCGACTCTCTGCTGCCAGACATTCTGTTCATGACTCAAGTTATGTAGTACGTATGTCTACATAAGTAGCACACGCCACAGTAGTATCTACACAGTGCAAGATAACTGTAGATATGTACAGTTATGCTTGCTAAATATTCGTACAATGAATTCCATATTTGACATTCGAGTGTCAATAGAAAATATCGATTGGAATTCATCTGACAAGTTGTCAGCTCACATTTACTTATTTCTTTTAACACATAAATATTGGTACAAGGAGGTGCCAGATATATATGAGCCACACATATCTCATTTGATTTGTGTGGGGACTGAGATACTGCTCGGGTGCTCAAACCGAAGTAGGTGGTTTTCTTAGGGGGCCACACCCGGAGCCGTTGGCTTAAAGGTCTGACCCATCGTAAGGAGACGCAGTCGCATGGTAGCCGGTGACCAACGATTGGTTCATACTCCATTTGTTCCTTCAGGATCCATCACCCATGTGCATCACTGGTTTAAGATCAGGGGGTTTCCGATCCCCCCTAGGTGGATCAACTTTATCCACCAACCCGGTTAAAGCACCGGACATTCGCTTTCTGTCCTCCCGATTTCGTAAACAACAGTAACGCCACGAGAAGGAAGTGAGTAGGACTTCCCTGGCAGAGGCTATATACGCGTGTCCATGTGAGAGCATATTGAGAGGGAGAGCGTACTCTTCCCACTCTCGACCGTACCAAGGCAGAAAAACACATATGATTAGAAAATAATTAGACACTTGGAGACGGTCAGACACTTGGAACTTAAAACTTTTAGGAGGTACGATTTTACTACAGAATACCCATAACAAAAAAGAGAAAAGTAAAGAAAGAATTATAATAAACTTACCAGTTTTAGGATTGAATGCAGCAGGGAATAAAAGTAATTGACATCCTAATTGATTAGCATAAAGAAGTGATAATTCCGGAAAACGAATATCATAACATATACCAATTCCAACTCGTATTACTGAAATTTTATTCTCGGCATTTTTTAAAGGTATCTCAAACGAGAATGTCTCTTTACCAGAACTAAGTGAAGCTGATTCTTTAAATGTAAACTGACCTAAACAAAAAAAAGGAATGAGGATAAATAAAATTTAATCTAATGATATTGAAACTAAAAACTGAAGAGATAAAACAAAACAAATGAATGGACAAAATGTACAATCATCCAGAAGGTACAAGTATTTATAAATAGTTATCTACGCAAGATACGACCAGCAACAACCTTCTGTGGGAGGGTAAACCAGCTTCCAGCTGATGAGAAAATCAAGAGGCGTTAGAAGTGGATAGAACATACATCACGCAAATCATTAAAACTGCATCACGGGGCAAGCCCTAACTTGGAATCCTGAAGGGAACAGGAAAAAAGGAAGACTAAAGAATACATTACATCGGAAAATAGAAACAGATATGAAAAGGATGAAAAACAACTAGAAAGAGCTGGAAAGGATTGCCCAGGACAAAGTTGGATGAAGAGCGCTGATGGGCGGACTATGATCCTTCACGAGGAGTAACAGGTGTAACCAACCTGAACAAAATGAAAATTCAGTGTTATTAGACTTGGTATCATTATTAATTCATCTTAAAAATACAGATTTGAACCCCATTCTACGTGTATCAGGACAAGTGATATTACGCTGTTAGCTAAAAAGGAATAGATGGAGGAGAGTTCCAATCTACGGGCTGCTGGAAAAAAATTCCAACGATCTAACCACTGAGCCATAGCACAAGAAGAAAAAGACAAGTAAATTTACTATAAAGTTATTTATGTATAACAAAAGCGCCTTTTAAAAACCAAACTGTTGACAAAATATAATTAAGAAAATATTGATATTTCTGGATCGGTTAAAACTGTTAACTGAGAATATTGAATCGATAAGAATAGTGACGTAAAGTTAGCGAAATTAATCTACAAATGAGAGTAAATGGGTTTACTCAGTTGTTAGTTATAATATAACGTAAGAAGACTACAGATAATTCCTCTAACGGCACCAACTGATTTGACTGTAGGGTTAATGTTTGATTTTGAATAGATCTTGTTACATAACCTGGTAACAAACTATGAAGTAACGTGTAAAGGAGAACATAGATCTCTAGAATGATATATATATATATATATATATATATATATATATATATATATATATATATATATATATATATATATTGCTATCTCGAATCTAATTATAACAATATTGATCAACAAATAAATAAATTTGTAACATCTCAATGGGTAGAAAAATCGGATTTCTAAATTTTCTGACATTTTGTGGTTCTCTTACGACATTATGTCCGGCTTTCTATCAAGTGATTTATCTACAAATCAAAATACGACTTATACAATCTTAGCACTGTGCCAAACCAATGACGTTCAACCGATATAAGCAGTCTAGCGTCCTTATTTGGTCCTATGTCCTTCTAGCCCGTCCGCTTGAGTTTAGAACACAATACCAGCTTTGTAAAAGATCTTATATGAGTCTATTTCAAAACAACAAAAGTATCAACTACATATCTGAGATAAATTCGTAGTTTAGATTCGGTCTGGGCAACCGGGCATTATCAAAGACCACACACAAATCAAGTTACTTGTGTGACGCATATGTATTTAATTGCCCTTTGTACCAATATTTATGTGTTCAAATAAATAAATAGAAATAAATGTCGTCGACGAAAATATTTGATTCTACATGTGATATAAACAGTTTGGCTACAGTCAAGGACACTGGTGATGCCATTGTTATTCCGTTTGTTTGCTTGTATGATGTCCCTTTAACAGTAAACAAGGTTGAATTTAAGCACAGTTTTAGGGGTTTCATGATCGGACTGATGCTTAAAGGATATCTGTCAGAAAAAGTATTATCACTCTCTAGTAAACCAATGATAAAATCTAAGCATCTATGAATAGGAATACTAGTGTATGATAATCCACCTTATAGCTTACCATGATTTCATTCTTTTCGAGAATTATGTAAGTTGTGTTGAAGTGGCTTTAACATGCTACTTACATATTTAGATAACGAATATGTTGGCGTGTTTGCAAAATCTACTATGGGTTTTAGTGAGATATCTGGTTTATGAATTTTAGGTAAACCATAAAAGCGTGGTGTAGCGCATGATTTGGGGTATAAATTAAACCGCAAAGAGATTGATTTTAGTTCTTTCAAAAGTTCACTTGTCTCTGATTTGACTTTATTTTTAACAGTTTGAAGATATTTTAGATCGATCTCTTGATATGGTCCTGTGGAAAGATGTTCAAAAGCTTCAGTATCATAATAATTTTAATTCATGACTAACGCTGTGTTAAAGTGTAAAGCTCGCAGTTCTTCTTTTGGACTGTTAGCTGTAAGGTGTTTTTGTTTAGTCAAAATATGGTATGTTTTTTGACGTATTAAATGAGACTTTTCCCCGGTAGTTGGTTTAATACTTAGAGCGATTTCAAGAGTACTAAGCGGTGTTCTGTGATTTCATGGTTGCTTAGATTTCTGTCTGTGAAATTATGAACGATTCTTAGAACATTAGAATAATCAAATCGATATCAAAAGTATCGAAACAATACAAAATGTCTTCGAACTACAAAGAAAGGTGGATGGCTAAAGCTCTCCATATATTGCTAAAGAAGGTATTACTATGCATCCGACGTGGACCATCTATCTGATCCTATTCTCATACAAATCCTACCTCATCATTTCACACTAAAAATGTCACATTCCTCATCTATCAACATACACACACAACCATACAAACATTTTTCACATAAATCATATTGACCGAAATTACATGACATTGACTTGATCGAACTTGTGTTTTTTTATTGACCGCTCCAAATATTCTTGCTACTATTTAAACTTGAGTCAATTTGATTAGTTTATTTATTCACTGAAGAAGTAGCCTACGTAGAGCCGTGAAACATCAGAAAGTTTAAAAATCCTATTTTTCTACCCATAGAGATATTACAAATGTATGATTTTTTATTAGTAACAAAGTACCCAATGCTTAATATATTCGAAATTATCAAGTCGAACTTCGGTAATGAAATCTAACTATAACATAGTTCATCAATAAACATTCAGTCAGCTACAACGTGAGACCAGGCACATATATACATTTGTCCAAGTTGCCACACCTCGTTGGCACAACAAGATAAACACCGAATTCATAGAAGTAGTTAATTCAATGGTGGTAATATATAAAAGAATGATTGCATATAGGGATATAGTACAAGAAGAAAGAATTAGCCCATAGAAAGAAAGATATAAAGCCATTATAATCTCACGATTTAGGGGAGGACAAAGTGTATATACACCTACGCCATTGTGATCGATTCTGAACCATGTCACCCATAGTCTCCAACCACTGATTACAATAGTCATGAGGACTCCAACCAAGAAGTATGCATCTACCAACATGGCTCAGACCAGAAGTTAGTGACTTCAAGCACTGATGCCACATTTTGGTTTGGCCGTCCGTAACTTTCTTCCAACCATCCACAACACTAATCAGCATTGCACGTTGTGGTAATCGGTGTTCAGGTATACGTAACGCGTGGCCCAACCATCTCAGTCGATGAAGATTCACAACCGCATCAATGGATTTACCATCATTCCCTAATACCCTGAGTCTAACCTCGTCACAAATCATACTGTTACATAATTGACCTGATTACGTCTACCTATAACTTAGTGATTTTACCATTTGATATAATTGTAATTTATTACAGATTTGTATTGACCGTTTCTTAGCTTAGAAGAGAAAATTGAAACCTAATACTAGAGAACAATTATGTTTTGTCATTGAAAAAAATTCGACAGTTTCTTTGGATTACCTGGTATATCAATATCAAATAAATGTAATTTACGATATAAGCCAACTAGTTCACCATCTGGATTATATGTTGCACAACAGTTATATAACTTGCCATCAGGTCCACGTTCAGGGATAGAACCACCGACAAGCCATATTTTATGAGATCTGTAAATGATTGAACAAGTATTTATTTCAAAACCTATTTGTTATTAAATGTTAAGGACAAACAATAAACTGTCATTGCATGTTCGTGTAATTTACGGTGTCACGCTTTGTAGCCTCCAGCTTACAGACATTTTTGACAACGACATTCTGATGTATGATTAACTTACACCTTTACAGCACATACAAATGAACTACGATTTTATGGCTTTTCACAAACATAACGTTAAGTACTTCAATAATTTCGATCTTACAGAAATACTATTAATGCGCAGAATTGTGCAATCTAAATGGCTAGCACAACAGTGAAAGGACGCACATGCCATTGAAAACCAACTAAAAAAACAGATATGAAATGACTTTAATGAAATCTTCTTTGTGGAAAAAATGCAAGCACAGTTAAACTTACTTAGCAGCATCTGATAGCATTTGGCATGATGGACCGTTTGGAACAGTTTCTGCATAGGGTCCAAAATATTTTGCACCAATAGGGGAGGTAAAGCATTCTGGAAGGCATACAAGGTGAGGTGAATGCTCAGATACAGCTCGACTAATTAATTCAGAAGCACGTTTTATATTGGCAGTTTTATCTGCACCCACGAACATTTGCAATAGTGCCAATCGTAACATTTTTACAATCTGTTAGAAAGAATATTTTATTTCAAATGCTAGGTAAGTGTTTAAATAAATAAAATTTGACCATCTATCATAGGCAGTTTTTACGCGAGAATATAGTGATATAAAATTTAAGGATGGAACATAGACCATTCTATTTAAAATTCATTCACATTTAGTACTAAATGTTACAGTAATACTTTTTATAAGTCAACCCTCGAAATCTAATCGTCCCACAAATGTCATCATTCGACTTATTAATTGTCTCTTAGTTAAATATTTCACAATCCGTCAATGAGGTTTGAATGCATACGTTTTACCTAAAAATTACCGGATTTTCCCAGATACTCTCAAGTGTTTGACTAAATAACTGAGTCACTCCATCACTATATCTACTGCGGTTTGAATGGCCTGGTTACAATTAAAATGTGGTTTAAAGTCAAGTACACAAATACTTACTTGGTGAATGCGATGAAAATTAATTAAAATACTAGCTCGAACAAACCTGACTCCTCTACAATTATCTTGTAAAACCTCAACAAAGCGGCTCATAATCTAGCATGTAAGTTTATGATTTTACTTGGTTGTGAATATTTGACAGATTTTAATCCTACTATTACTACATGAACAGTAACAGACCTTTAATATAATGAATATACAAAAGCAGGTTTGGGTGAAAATATAATACATATTTCACTCAAAATAACTTTTAAGAAAATATGTATACTCAACATTTCTACAGTTGTACTCGTTAAAATAGTGGCTTCAGTTACTGTGAAAACAAACAGCAGTCACCCATACTGTTGTTCAAAAGCGAGTAAAAAAGCCCAACTAAATGGGCTTACCTTACCTCCCCTCAGTTTGTTGACACTAGGTTGCTACGAAATGCACTGTCACAGCATAAAATTATCAAGTGAGCAAAGTAATTAGTGTTTTATGAAGAGGTAAACATTATATGAGTAACAGTCAAAAGCCCATATTACAAAAAGTTTGACACAAGGGAAGACTTGGAAACAGGTTTCTACAAATCCTGTAGTGCATATATAGAAAGGTTCAATTTAACACAAGATCTTAAGCTAGAGACTTCTGGTTTGACACAAACCTTTATTGATATCAAAGTAACAGATGTTAGACAATAAGAGAATTAAGACGTTATACTCAAAGCACTGAGACGGAACGAAGATGTTTAGACAGATTTAAATAATCTCAAACATAATCGAATGAGATATTTCTCAACATTTACCAATTGACATACAGTAAACCGAATAGCACTTTCTTAAGATGGAATAGATCCCTTTTTTGGTATAAGCGAATTTGAGTTCCCATTTTCGATAGAAAGAAACAAGTACTTAGATTGCATGTTGGCTTAAAAGCTTTTGCGAAGGTCTTAAGTGACCGTCTATAGTAGTTTGCTCCACTAACAGGTAAGCTAAGGGTAGACGTGAACTGTAGCAAAAATTTTTACTACTAAACAATCATCAAGTGACAGGATTCTGAGATTCACCTAAGGTTTACGTATAGTTATCACGGTATATAATTACAAGTCAATGCTTCTAGATTTAAGAGAATGTCGCCTTATCCCAGAAAATACTTTTAATCGCTACAGTAATCACATAAACTTCCCTGATGACCGCAGAGAATTACTAATTTGTTAGTTTAATTTGTACCGCAAACCATTGCGTTCATGGAAGATGGATAACATAATATTCGCCTGCAATTGTGATGCCGACAAAATCATTCTTTAAAACAAATTAACGACACGAATGGACTGAAGAATTTGAACATGAAAAAAAAGATTCATAACAGTGATATTGCTATAAAAACAACAAACAGAATGCGGCTTTACTTAGAAGTCCTCGGAATGCTCTGGTAAAATCGAGGTTAGAGAGTCAGCTCACCCTCCCGAAATGCTCCAACATCACCATGAGTATACATTTACTAACGATATGGACTATATATAGAGATACGTATAGGTACACAATTATAATTGGTTAAATCGACACTTTATAGCAATCGTTAATTGTATACCAAACAAAACGCTATACAAATAAAAATGTATAGTTTATTGATTCCCAATGTATGTATGCAACAACACAACCAACTTGATAATGTTTGTTATAACAAACATATATATATATATATATGCAGGAACCATTAGTTGCTCTGTATTTTCAGGTGAAATATAAAAAAATTATGACCACATAATTTGTGATACAAGAACAGTGTTTTGACGACCGACTAAGCAATATAAGCTACATAAAACCAACTAGAAGCCAAGACAATTCTAAAGCCTCCGAACCTCACCTGTTTGAAATTCCGCTGTGCAATACGATGTGCAATCTAAATTTGGAAAAACTAGTGTACATTGTTTACTTCTCCCAGCCAATCCTCTGTTACTGAGTGAGAAGAATGCGAAACACAACTTATGCTCAATGCAGCCAGTAAATCCTCTCCACCTTAGTGATTTCTGATAATAATAATAATAAACGTATTTCCAGAGGACAATATCCTTCTCAGAGGTAAGGTATGATGACGAAGAAGCTCATCATTGACGGTTATGTGATTGAGTAGGGAAAACTCATCGGTAGGTCAGGTTGCCTACGGCTTTGAAAATAATTCCATCAGTACCTCATTTTCATTGACCTAGGTATTTCGATGGAAAGTAGCAAACGACTCATCACAAACAGTGATATGGAAGTCTTCTAAGGAGAAGAGTTTGGTGCTGGATAATTACGAGTGGCATGAGGACCTTGTACCACTACCTGTCATAGGTAGCATTATTTTTGCACAGATGCGAATAACGACGTTTCTAAAAGTACATGATTAGCCCTATTCAAGCTTACCTAATTTTAAGTCTATCTACATATAATAGTCTGATAAACAAGGTAATAGACCGCAGATGAAATTGTATAGTACTCCTAAGAGTGCTTTAAAATAGCCGACGACTGTATGTGTAACTGTACTCCTTCCTCCACACTAGTCTGCCTAATGGTTATTGCGAAATTCCTCATTATTTACAACAGTGTCTGAATAAATCGAATTGTGCAATGTATTCTAAGCCAGAGCTAATGCTTTTGATGCACTTGTTACTCCAAATATACTTAAGATGCCACAAGCATTCCCCTCAGACTTTAATTCTGTCTTACAAAATGTATTATACAGGCTCGCAATCAGTAGCTCAATTATTATGCCTGGATACTTTCACTGAATTCGGTGGCAATTTTTGATCAGCTGCTTCCACTGTTATATTCATTAATAGCATAATTAGTTGTTTATCTGACAGTCTGTTACTGCTTCCTAAGTCAGTTCTTATCCTTCAAGGTAATATTCTTCGTATTTGCTCGACTGCCGACCTATCGAAAAATACGACTTGCATGCATGTGTGAACTTCATTTTCAAAGCCTTTATTACATATGGTGTTGAATTGTCTGAGTTAAACAACATCAAAGTTAACCTGAATTTCTATCTTTGAATTTTTTAAATCTTGAAACACACAATAGAAATTATTCCTTCCATAGTTTGTTGATTAAGGAAAACGAACTTCAGCATTATGTATTATGTGCGAGTGTTCCATAATGATCCATGTAAATGTGATGCCATCAAAGTACTATCTAACAATCCGAGTATTTTAAGCGGGCGTCCTTGCATATTCCAAGAAGCGAGGTTCGACACCTATCCGTTCCCTAAAGTAATTATTCGTTCATCGAATCATGTTCCTGGTGCGGCAATCGGGGTAGAACTATTTGTGAATAATGTTTTATGTGGAGACGGATCGGGCTCATGCATAAACGTCATAACAGCCATTTTGTTTGACACATAAGCAAATAATGTTACTGAAAACCTAAACTATGAAAGTAATGCACCACTAGAAAAATGTACTTATTCAGCAGCTGTAGAACCGCCATGATATGATTACTTAATCCTTCAGACCTGGAAGTAACATTATCGTATGTGCCGACTCATCCTATCGTGACAGTCAGCGGTTACTGCCGAAGATTCCTGTAGAATATATTTAGGCTGGGTAGAGGGTGATATATTTAATATAGAATGCAGATTACATAGTGTTCATAGCTACATATCGAGCCATGCCAAATGAGCAATAAATTGACCACTTCTTCAGAGTCACCACAAAGAGGAAATAAGTACGGACTCTGCTAGTCTTGTTGCGGTACATTCACTCAAAAGGCCAAAGCACATTGTATCCTTCAGATACTTAATGTGTGGTAAGGTTATCACTTAAATATCGGTTGATATAATTCATTCGATTGATGTAAACTCTGCTATGACACGATATAACAACGCTAATAAAACCATACACAGATGCAACGGTGATTTCAACATAATTTTACCTTGAAATACTCAGCGAGTTTTCAGGTGAAGAGCACCGAAGATTGAAATACACTTTTACAGAAATATCATACACTAACGTGCAAAATTGTCAGATATATATATGATGATCAGAAGTATTTCAACTAATGTTATTTACGCACACCTGTTACCACTTGCGGAAGAGCATAGGGCGCCACACCAAGATTCTCCATCGAACTCTTCCCTCGGCAGTTTTTTCCTGTTTTGGTTCCTTTAGGATGTGAAGGTTTCTATAATCCAGCCAACTACTAGAAGGAGAAGGGCGAAGAGCAAGAATTCTGACACTGGTCCCCACTTGGAATGCGGGTCAGCTGTCCTCCGTGAACGACGTTGCAGTGTATTCTGTGGTAAGGGTTCCGTATTATGTTGACAATTTTCACAGGTAAACCATAGTATCAAATTATTACACAAACTAAGAATTAACAGTTTACTGAAGGTAGAAAGGGACAAGAACAAATTAATGTATTATGTTTAGAATTCGCAATCAGTGTGCCATCAAGTACAGAAGAATCGTCAGTTCATACAAGCACCACGTTCATCAAAGCTCAAGTGGAAACCCAGATGTTTGTAATCGATTGCACGTCATCTCCTTAGATTCATCGTGTTTCTGGCCGACTGTGTATTGCATGTCAGTCAGTCAGTCAGCTGCAACTTAGGACCAGGCACATATATGCATCGGTCTAAGTTACCATACCGCATTAGCACAACAAGATGAACACCGGATTCATAGAAGTTAGTTAATTCAATGGTAGTAATATATAAAAGAATTATTGCATATAAAGATATTGTACAGGAAGAAAGAACTAGTTGATAGAAAGATAGATATGAAGCGATTTTGATCCCATGGTTTAGGGGAAGACGGAGAGTCTACACACCCCGTCACCCAGAGTCTGTAACCATTGGTTACGATAGTCACGCGGACCCCAACCAAGTAGTCTACACCTACTAACATGGCTCAAACTACAAGTTAGTAACTTCAAGAACTGATGCCACATTTTGGTTTGGCCACCCACATCTTCCTTCCAACCATCCCCAACACTGGTCAGTCAGCATCGCACGTTGTGGTAATCGGTGTTCAGACATAAGTAACGCGTGGCTCAACCATCTCAGTCGATGAAGATTCACAACCGCATCAATGGATTTACCATAATTCCCTAATACCCTGTATCTGTCTAACCCCACTATTACATGCCCGGTAATCCCAGAAGATGCAAGCAATATTTTTAAGGCATCTGTGGTCAAATTACTTGTAGCTTACGAGTATTTTCAACTCTTAATGGCCATGTTTCGCAGCCGTATAGTAGAACGGAACGAACTGCCGCGCAGTATACTAGGCCCTTAATTGATAGACGGATATCTCATCTTCGCCATAGGTGACGTAAGTTGGCAAAAACCAAACGAGCTTTTCGAATCCGTGCTGAGATTTCGTCAGACACTAACCCATTTTGGCTGATCAGACTTCCAAGATAAGTGAAGTTGTCAACGCGTTCGACTACTTCACTCCCTAGCCTTAGTTCAGGTTTTGACGCAGGACAATCCTGAAGCAACCAATTGCATTTAGAGGGAGTGTATTGCATGTACACATCATCTGACCTATAATATACTCACTAGTACTAGAATTAAAAACTACGACCAGAACAAATTCACATGTGTCCTGGAGTTTTCTTTGATTAACTTATCGGTTATGTGTTCTTAAATCATTGAACCATAGCCTTTCAGATATTCCTACCCGAAATCTCCGTGTCTGGTCAAGGAACATTCCCACAATAACGCAAAACATTTTCGGACTCCAAAAGCCTTATATTCGAACGAACAAGCCTATTTTCAATAGCTTTGATTAAGTCTCTTTTGTTACGGAATGGTCAGCATTTCTATGTTGCAGTAGAAATGTGTTTACTCCCCTCTCCAGTTCGTCAAGTGTTGAAGCACCAGAGGAAATGACAGCAGTTTTCGATATCCCTATTAGACTTTTGTAATGAAGAAGGAATAACAACACGAACATGTAAATACAAAATACCATCAAGAGTAGTGAATAATTCAGCCGGCTTTCAACATAGACCGGAAGTATACGTTTCAGACTAGCATTCCAACCTTTTCGTATGTGTGTCTACGAGTTTCTGTAATGAAATATAGGCGTCTCACCGGTAAAGGTTGCACTAACAGACCGTCTGAAGTACTATCAGGTTAATCTTGTAATGACTTACGAGAAATGTACTCAACAAGTTGAACTGGTTTGGCACTCCCGTGCTGAACCGTATAATTATAGGCACTCAAAACTATACTCTGTCGTTGAACCATACCAGCTAAGGAAATCGCTAGGGATTTTTAAGGATGATGAATGAGCTTTAGAGCTTCACAATCAGTAATAATCATTAATTTCTTTTTAAAAAATACTTATGAAGCCTTTTGACGCTCCAAAACACAGTCAATGCTTCTCACTCAGTTTGTGAATAATCCAGTTCAGCAACAGTAAGTTTGTGAAAAAGACAGATAACTGATCTAACTTCCTGTTCCAAAACTGCGCCAATACTCACAGGTGATGCATCAGTAATAAGTATAGAATGTACACTACGAGAATAAGTCCGAAGAACAGCATTACTTTGATGAAATTTTAGTGGACTTCGTAAGCAAGACGCTTGTCGATTTGAAACAAACAATTATCACGACGAGAAATCTAGGAATAAAACGGGAATAATATTGAAGAGTGCCCACTAGTGAATGTAATTCTGTAAGATTTTTCGGAGACAGTGTGGTCTTGTTACCCAAATTTAATTGGTGTAAGAATAACAGTGTCCCATACTGATGATGTCAGTTCAATCATAGCTATCGCACACACCTTTGAATGTCTTACATACTGTTTCTCAAATATCGTAAGGAATTATACGTCCTTTTTTTGATTAAGATTGAATCACCCTGTACTTGAAGTATTAGGGGCTGGAATTTGATGCCTTCACTGTACTTAGCACACGCAGCTATCAAATATTTAAGTAAAGCATCAGAATTCTCCTTTAGAAACTAGTTGATACAACTTCAACTTGGGCCTTTTCAGACCCAGTATTGACAGTCCTGTTTCGCCAACTAAGAATTCACTAAGTATGTATAAAGAATTATCATATCTTAATAGCAATCCACATCATCTTCATAAGGGCAGTCTGTGTTCAGTAATTTTCGATATAAAGACTTCGGTAAGTCATACCACAACGTGAGGATCTAAAGATTTCAAGTTCGTGAATGAAATAATGGACTCTATACTACCTTATCCACAATAAACGGATCGAATTAATAAATGGAAGCATATAGCCCCTTCCGAAATCGTGGATAAAGATAAATGACCAGTAGAAACACTCGACTTAATAAAACCCGAACTACATAGTTTATCATCTCTAGTGGCGAAGCGAACAATAGCTCTATAAACCGACTTAATGTGTCACACTTGACCACACTTAAAGCATGTGGTATGACGAAAGACATATGAATTACGTGAAGTTTACCACAGGATAAAATTCTACCAGACCTGTGTTCACTTCTGTACCCTGCTTGGCAATTCTTTGTTAAATTACTTCTCATATTTTTACGAGAACAGAAAGCATTATCAAACAAACGCGAACTTGAGCGAACGTGAGAGTAGCTCATTACGAGGACTGAGCGAAGTATTAGAAATCTCACTGACTGCAAATCAAACACATTCACTGCCTCATAGGTAATATACTGTTTTATTTCTTGAAATGAACTTTGGGCTACTGAATTAATTACCTTCCTAAATTCGAAATATTTATACCATCAAATGGTTCAAATGGTTGCGGACGGAATAGAAGAAGCTTTCGCTTAACAGGCTTCCGTGTCTAGTAGCAGTGGATCACCAATACCGCCAGGCAAGAACCTAGGTATATTAACGATAAAAGATCACAAGGTTGAGTTTCTAATCGATCGCCGAAAATACACTTCGTGGCTTGTTTCTGTGGTTCATCATTTTATAAAACTTGGATCTTAGATGTTTAGCAGGTTATAAGTTTCTTTGCTGATAAACGTAAAAAAATAAGTTGTGGATTTATCTTCGTTAATGTTTTTTTCTAGTCATGCATCCGATTTTGAACCGCTTCATGTGGTCTTTGAAGTTGTCCCCACTTGAATTTATATCCAACTGTCCAAGATTTGACTCAAACGTAATACCAATATGATGATCAGAAGTATTCGAATCAATTTATTAACTAGGAATTCATAAAATAGTGCGATTTACATTAGGTAGAACTAGATGAGCAGAAATAAACGCATTGTATTGGGCCATCAAGTAAGAAAAAATCATTACTTCTTACAAATACCACAACATATCAAAACCTATACATCTTCAGACTTCAACCAGACTGAGAACCCTGGAGGCAAGAATCAATCCCACGAGTTGCTGCCAAGAATCTGTACCAGATTTCGCATTCGATGGCATCCTTTGTAACATCATGCGTTTGGCAACTTGAGACCGTGGCGTGACTATAACTTACGGACGACCTTGAAGTGACCTTGAGAAAGTCAACTCACAAGAATTAAAGGAAGGTCACAGATTAGCGTGAGGAATTAGGAATTTTCATCACAAACTGACAGCTATAATCCTAAAATGCTATTTAGCTAAAAGGATAAATGAATATCGCGCCAAAACTAGGAACTTGCTACCTTTGATTTTATTGGTTTATCCATAAGTTTTAGTCTCACAGAAACCGTTCAGTAAGAATAAAACTCTCGACACTGACGGGTTGATGAGTGGGTTGTAACATAACAACATATGTGCAACCCAAACAAATTGTAATGAAAGCTTAAAAAACATACCCTTCATACTATTTATGAAGGTAATACAGCGTAACAAAGTAGTTTACTTGCATAATTTAGCGAAATATCTGTACAGCAAACACTTCTCTCAGTGCTATTTTGAATTAGATTTCAGCAATCTTAAGCTTTTTAAGACGCCCGAGAACCTATCAGTCTAGATTTCATTTTAAATGATGTGTATATGACTCTGTAAAGCTTTAGGTCCTTGATCGGTACAGTTACCATTAGTCACATTGAATCATGACATAAATCAGAATTTGCTTAATTAAACCCAACTTTATTTAATATTTCTCGCTAAGATCAAGTGACCGAATAAAATAATCAAAATTGTCACAACTAAGGTGAAAACCTTACGTTCAAAAGTTCGTTCCTAGAGGTGAATAGTCAATATAACTACTTGCCATTTAATATCGACAACTGTCAATTTTTCTAAAGTGATATTTTGGATAACATAACTCTACATAAAACACCTAATTGTTTATTATTCCTTTTGAGGACGGATAAACATACATAAACACAAGAGTTAGGAAGAAATCGAAAGATCACAGTAGAGAATAAAAACAACCAGCCAATTGTTATCATTTTGTTAACTCAGAGTGGCAGTTAGAATAGAGTACTAGAGAATAAAACAGGTATTCATAGTTAATGACAATAAATCCCAATTCTATAAGAACAAACCAGCTACTCATAGTATGACCTGGTGAGCGGAAAATAGGGTCCCACTACTAGTTAGTAAATAAAGAACCTTTTTGGTCATACACTGTTTATCATTAAATGATAAAATCTAAAATAAACTTTGTAAACCTAAATCCACACTTAAATAAATCATCTTTAAAAATCGAATGATAATCGATCAGTAATATTGTGATCAATAACGTAACCAGTGTTCAGAAAACCAGATCAAAACTTCTTCATTTACTCAATTATTCACTGATAACCAATCAAAATGTCGTGTATTACTCGTTTCTGATTGGTGTATTCATTACCTTCGTGACAGACAGTATGTTTTTTATAGAACCGAATCTAATGATAAATGAATTCCTCATTTAGCTTAGTATTTAGAATAACCAGATAAATCATTTGAAGTAATTCATATCTAAAATTAGATAAAGGTAAAAATTTAAATTTGTACGAATATTCCATGTACCTAAATTAACGATTGCTCTGATTGTCAGAAGGGGAATCAGCTTTGTGACTCCCGAAGGAATTCGGCTTTTATCATGAGACGTCATAACTCTTATAAATGAAGACCTTCTAACTCTTATGGCAGAGTTAAAATGGCGTGAATTATTTTTTCTAGTTAGCGTTTTTTAGCGAGTTAGTTTTCTACGGGATGGGATTGTCAACGCCATGCCCAACCCTCCTCCTTTACCTGGGCTTTGGACCGGTAGTAGCCCCAGAGAGGCTTCAGACGGAGGAAGAAATCTGGAAGTGCATAGGACACACATTGACGAAATCACCCAACTGTGTCACAAGGCAAGTCCTTACTTGGAGTCCTTAAGGCCAAAGGAGGAGAGAACGATCAAAGAATACATTACGTCAACAAATGGAGACAGATATGGGAGAAATGAACAAAAATTGAATAGAACTAGAAAGGAAGGCCCAGGGCAGTGTAGATTGTAGAATGCTGGTCAGAGGCTCATTCTCCACTGAGAGCAACAAGCGTAATAAGTAACAATTTAAATTTAATTCGAATTAACATTGATTGTATAGAATAAATTAAAACAAACAGACGAAAGTTAAAACAAACAAGAAACAATTTGTTTTTTTTTTTGCACAACAAAACAAAACTCCAGAACAACAGAAAAACCATTTGAACAGAAACATTATTATTATTATTATTATTATTCATTCCTACCTACTGAATGTCAGGATTTGGAAAACCAGATCGTTTAGAAGTAATATATTTTGCTTTAATATTAATTGGTATTCTTATATTAGATACAAAAGATTCTTGTCGCATTGTAGTTAAATAATTAAGTAGATTTGGCCATATTTTGATTTCATTATATAATTTATCATTTGTTTTCATTTCATGAATTTGATCACAATTTATGTTATATATAATACCCAATATTATTTCAAAGTAATCAATTAAAGGAAAAAGGATCAAATCAGCCAAGCTCAATTGATTCCCTGAATAATAATAATAAGAAATAATAAATATAAAAATAAAAAAAATTTAGAGCTAATTAACATATTACTTATTGGAAAATAGGGTTCGTTGAATATAGGTATTTCTTAACAATCACTAAAATTTATATCAGTATGCACGCTGATTTGTGTAAAAAAATAAAAAAAACTGTGATGAGATCTATTCAAACATTACGAATCGCATTCCGATAACATCCACACTTTATATTATATCTCGATGGTAGGACTATATAGAGATAGTCAGTTGATGGCCCAGTGTTATGTTATGAAAGAAAACAATAGGACTGACATCTATCGGTCCATCACGACAATTTGATTGAGTGCCTAGAGATTCTGTGATTCGCTGGCTTAGGGATATTATCAAATATAGCTCAGAGTAAAATCAATAAACAATCCTATTGTTAGTTTCCTTTGCAATGTTCGTAAAATTGTGAGAAACTCCATTAAATGACCAACTGAAAAAATTCTCTTTGTTGTATTGTTCATTGAACTGAGATTCCTACTAACAATTCTTGTCTACTAATTAATTTATATCAAAACGGTTTTGTGGATATTATAGTAATTTCAATGGCTCAATGGTCTAGTGGTTAAGCGCTCGCGCGAGTGACTGATAGGTCCTGAGTTCGAATCTCACGAGACGAGGTTTTGGACGCGCATTGCTGAGGAGTCCCACAATAGAACGAAACGATCGTCCAGCGCTTCTACCTTTAATTGACTCATGATCTTAATCATTGAAATTACTAATTAATTGTTAGGTGGCACTCCTTATAACCCTTTTAATTTCGTTACAATGTGATTTATTTATTATTTTGTATGAGGTATACTATTTTCAGTGGTCAGTTTTATCAGATTTTAAGTGTATTAAATGAATAAGCACCATTGATAACGTTAAACAAACTAAAATTAAAGAGCCATTGATCTAATAAACATTTTAAACTACACAAAAATGAGATATTTTATGACAATAAAGAATACGAATGCCTTATCACAATTATAAATTCATGATTAGAATTTAGAAAATACTATTTAATTTTCAAAAAACAACTCCAGTTACCAAGTTTATGTTTACTTTTTTAGCTAAATATTTTTTGTGTGGGGGTTAGAGATACTACATTGCTTTCGAAACTGAATTCGATGAAGTGAAGTTCAAACTTGCAACACCAAAAATTGGAAACCACTGAGACAACGTCGCGCATTCCATTAGAATTTAGTGGACACCTATCTTAATCAACAGATAACTTTCATGACAAATCAACATCAGCAAGAGAATCGGGAATTGCTGAACAGGTTTTATCTTCTCCAAGGCATGCATAGAAGCGAACTCGAGGGATATAATAATCAATGTACTATCTAACCATTAAATAGGAAAAGGATCCTTACACATTATACAACTCCACTTAACATGTAACAGTATAACTATCACATTCAGTGTCATAGGTAACTGCCGTCATTGTTTACGAAGTTGGTTACATAGTTTACGAATTTTGTACTATTATTATTCATTAATTAAACACATAAACATTGGTACAATGAGGCATCAAATAAATATGCATCACACAAATGTTTTGATTTGTGTGAAGGCTGGAATATTACCCGAATAAGCCACACCCCGAACGTTGGACCTAGAGGTTTAATATATAAGGTAGTGGAGCAACGTCAGGAGGTGTAGTCACATGGTAGCCGATGGTCAACAATGGGTTTATACTCCATTCCTTCTCTAGGATCGTGGAGTCTATGTGCACCATTGGTTTGAAATGAGGGTTTTCCAACCCCTCCGTAGGTGGATCCACCTTATCCACCAACCCGTTTAAAGCACTGGATATTTGCCTTTTATCCGCTCAATTTCGTAAACAACACGCCAGTCGGCCATTCCACCCAGACAGATTTTGCACTAGAGTTGATATATAAACGGTGATATCAACGATAACCCTTAACAACACTTCAACACAGCGTCTTTCTTTCTTAAATCCCATTAACTCTAAAAAACACTGGAAGATGTCAAGGAAGATTACTTCATACTCTAAATCATTCAATTATAAGCCAATTACACTTAAAGGTTGTTAAAAAATTCATTAAATGAATGTAAAAAATCCACATTAATTTAATTAATACAAATAAGAGTGCACTAATAGTAAATTAAACGATAATTGCCTTAAATCAATATTATTTGACTGAAACAATTGAGTTCTTCGCATTACATAATATTTGAGGATTTTACATTCCCCTTATTAATCTTTCACCGTATAAATCTTTACTACATACTGATTTGCTATCTCATTTATTGTTTGCAAAAATTCACTGAATAGTAGTTCTTGGGATTAAATCTACTAAAATTCGTATTATATAATACTTTTTATAAGACTTGTCCCTATATTATGTAACCATAAATAAAGAATACATTATTCATTATGGGGTTGTGAAGATCGCCAAAATGTTATTGGGATCACGAACCAATGCAAGCTAGATAACCAGTGAAAACATGAGAGCAAAGAACATCTGTCTTGTCCTTACTAGTGAACATCCACAACTCCAACAGGAAGGAACCCTTCAATCTCACATGAGAACATTTAACCTCTAAACTACTGAGTCTAGATACAAATGGTGTACAAGTCTAACTTCAATAAACCCGCAATATAGTGTAACTATCTTTCATTGTCTTCGGTTGATACCTTTCTCATACCCAGCACAATTCGATCCCTGATGGTGGGATTGTGGATGGACACTAATGAGAAATCACATACCATGATGAGAGATACTTCTGCCTAGTCTCTCCCTTTTGCCTTCAAATCCCTGGATGACACTGCCTACTGTGAATATTACATCGAGAATAAGAAGAAAAGAATAAATAAGAAAAAAAAGAACAACTCCACCAACTAACCGGCAAAATATTTACTATTAATTGAATTTTCCAATTCAGAACAAGCTTCACGGAATTTCACTACATCCAACTCACTAAATGTCACTCCATATAATATAGAATGTCCAGGACTGAAAAACTGAAATAGTTTAACAGGAAAAAACGAACAATTATCACCAAGATAGAAAGCAGAAATCATGAAATTAATACAATTTGATTGAGATACAATGGTAACACGAAGATAATTAAGTAACTGATGTTACATACTGATAAGTGGTCGGAGGTATTCGACAGGAAACCCTGGACTTAGATTTAGTGCAATCTTTCACTCGTTAGCAAAAACAGTCTGCAATCTTGTAAGAACTGTCGCTTCCTGTGTGATCAAAAATGTACCCAATTTCGAAAAATAAGACGTAACCACTAAGCTGTTTGGGTCACAACTGACCCCCGGAATGACTGAAGTATATACAGGTAGTTGATCATCAAATAGTGACCAATTTTATGTTTGTTGAGTCTTTTTAATGTTGGTCGAATACCATCGACCAAGTTATAACGTAGCCACTAGTCTAAGTGGATCAAACCATACGTCAAACGCCATTTTTTCCTTCAGGATACCGGAGCCCATGTACACCATTGGTTTGGAATCAGGGTTTTCCAACTCCCCTAGATGCACTCTCCATGTTCACCAACACGGTTATAGCGCCGGCCATTCGCTTTTCGTCCTCTTAATTTCGGAAACAACACTCCCGCCATGAGAAGGCAGTGAGTAGGACTTCCCAGGTAGTGGCCATGTGAGAGCATTTCGAGAGGGAGGGAGGGCCCTCCCCACTATCGGCCGTACCAAAGCATTCGGGTTACCTAATTTAACTACCAGATACTAAAAATGTAAATTAATCATTACTTTAACTATATCAAATGAAGATTAATGCTAGTTTCTTTTACGTTATTGTAACTGTTTATTATATATATGAATAACAAACCTTTTTAGCTAATTCAGCAGCATTTTGAAATTTCTCTACACCACATATATTCATCAACGAAGCTTTTTCTCCATGTAATTCATCCACAAATCGCATAATTAAATCAGATTCAAGAAGTTTATCACCTTGATTAATAAGTAGGGGAACTTTACCCAACGGCGAATATTTTACTAACCAATCTGGTTTATCAATAAGTGAGACTTGAATTAAATCATAGCTAAGTAAATAATAAACAGATAAAATAAAATGGGGAATTATGTAACTATATAACAGTGAAATATCAAAAATAAAATATGGACATTTTACTTCTATCTGACGTTTGTGCTGATGATCTTGTTAAGAAGAACAATGAAAGATCCATGACAAAACCATCCAGCTTAGAGAACAAAACTCCAACAAAATCACCTACCTGAGCCACAAATCTTCTCCATTATCTCAGAATATTTTTTCTAGTTAACGTTATTTAGCAAGTTAGTTTTTACGGAATACGGTACCTAACCCCATGACCAACCCTCCTCCTTTATCCAAGTTTGGGACCGGCAGTAGCCCCAGAGGGGCTCCAGGCGGAGTTCATGTGGAATATTACTATAGATAAATGATAGTCAATTGTTTTAGTCAACATTATAATCTCTAAGATTACATAATATTCAACTCGATATAATAAAAAATATATATTGCATTCAAATTATAAGTTCGAAGATTTAATGGACAAGATTGAAGGATCTATACAAGCAACAGGGAAATTAGTGAAGTCTAATCATTCTGTAGTTCTAATAATAACAACAACAACAACTCCGCCTGTAGCTCTTCTAGAGTTACTGCCGGTCCTAAGGAGGAGGGTTGGGCAAAGTATCAACTTAATCATTGATTTCTGATCGAAAAATGAATCATATTTTTGTAGGTGAGATTCATCACAGATTAATCTCTGTCGAACTGTCATTGTGAAGCAGGTAGCACTGGAAAGCTGTTTCGTCCTTTACTCTGAAATATTCTTTTATTTCTAAGTTAAGGTAATAATTAAAATTTGTATGAATCGTGGAAATTTAAATACAATGCTAAACACAGTAACTGATTATGCAACTATAAGCAAAGTTGCATAGTGGCTAGCAATGGAATCCACGATGCGCGTTTCGTTCTATTTATTTACATATGCCAATAAGAGACTGATAAATTGCAGTCCTAAACATCAATGGGAAGGTTCAAGTAAACAAAATCAAGTGAATTTAAACTTCACCCTATTACACTGTAGTGAGCAAGAACACCAGTTGGGACAATCGAATGTATTTGACAACAAATTACAGAACTAGTTATTAAAATCTAACAACCCTACAGTGAATCGTTAATTTGCAAAATAACAATCCATCATATCAAACTTGACTGTTCCTGTTGCAAACATCAATCGATTGTCTGTCCTTTCATTGTTCATGAGTTTCCATACAAGTTCCACTGTGTTCCCGCTCTTCCTTTCTTGATCTTCCTCCATCTTCTGCTGCCAGACATTACGTTTAAAACTCGCGTCATATACTACCTATGTCTACATACGTAGCACCCGAGCCTTCGACCTAAAGGTCTGACCCACAAGGCAGTAGAGCATCGTGAGGAAATGCAGTCCCATGGTAGCCGGTGACCAACGATTGGTTCATACGCCATTTGTTCCTTCAGGCAGGATACTCGAGCCCATGTGCACCATTGGTTTGGGATCCGGTTAAAGCGCCGGACATTCACTTTTCGTCCTCTCATTTTCGTAAACAACACCCCCGCCACTTGAAGGCAGTGAGTAGGACTTCCCTGCCAGAGGCTATATACGCGTGGTCATGTGAGGGCATTTTGAGAGGGAGAGCGGACTCTCCCCACTCTCGGTCGTACCAGAGCATTTGGGGGCACTAATAAAATTAATTAAATATATACTTTTCAGTATATCTTTGGAATCACCCATTCAGGATGCGAGTCCCGTGCCATCCTTTTCAAAGATGCGTGCAAAACTTGGAGATTTGAAATAGTGATTATCAAGGAAACCTTTTTTGACTGATCCTGATCAAATTCACCAGAAATATTTATTTTTTTAGTAATACCTTAACTGTTTGTATGCACATTTATGCTACACAGAGATTCTATTGACGTCTGCATAGAAAGATGAATTTGGGTCAGTTATTTAACTATTTATTTCTACTAATATTGTGAACCACTCAAAGAAAAATATATATGACGTTAAATGGGGAAAACTTAGTATAGTATCCACTCACTTTAGAAAGCTAATTACTATAATTATTATTACTACTATTACAGAACATTAATACAGCCATTTACAGTTATGCTTTAAAATTTCAAACTTATTTCGATGATCCAATGTAAATTAAAGGTTGAACGGTATTAAAATACCTACACATTCATTTGGAAAGCATGTGGTCATCTAAATCAACACTAATCATCGGATTATTGATATAAGAGAATAAAAACAAGCATTTTAAGGTAATTTCTTGTTGAACCTTATTGCCCCCAAATACCCTGGTGGGGAGTCAGCTCTCCCTCTCGAAATGATCTCACATGGACACGCGTATACAGCCACTGTCAGGGAAGTCCTACTCATTGCTTTCTCGCAACAGGGGTGTTGTTTACAAAATTGAGAGCACGAAAATCAAATGTACGGCGTCTTAACCAAGTTGGTAGATATAGGGAATCCAACTAGGGGGGTCAGAAAACCCCTGATCCTAAACCAGTGGTGCACATGGGCTCCAGGATTCCAAGGGGAAAATGACGTATGAACCAATTGTTGGTCGTCGGCTACAATGAAAGTGCATCTCCTTACGTTGCTCCACTGCCCTGTGGATTAGACTTTTAGATCAGAGGCTTTGGGTGTGACCTCCTAAGAAAACCACCAGCTTCAGTCTGGTCACCCTGCCAGTGTTTCGGCCCACACACAAATGAAGCGGCTTGTGTGGCACATGTGTAGTCAGTGCCCCTTTGTTACCAATATTTATGTGTTCAAATAAGTAACATAAATAATTTAAAATATTAAAAGTTATACTATTGTATTTTTTCTCCTTACACTTATTTAAAATATAAAATGGCACTTATTTGAAAGGACTCAACACTTCTCAGGTGTTCAAAACAATGTCGGCGGTCGTCTTGAAACTTACGTCTGTTACTCCTCGTAGAGGAGCATAGGCCGCCCATCAGAACTCTCCATCCAACTCTGTCATAGGCAATCCTTTTCAGTTGTTATTCATACTTTTCATATTTGCTTCTATTTCCCGACGTAATTTGTTCTTTGGCCTTCCTCTTTTCTGCTTCCCTTCGCGATTTCAAGTTAGAGCTTGCTCCGTGATGCAGTTTGATGATTTCCGTAATGTATGTCCTATCCTTTTTTAACGTCTTTTCCTGATTTCCTCCTCAGCTAGAAGCTGGTTTGTCCTCTTCCACAGAAGGTTGTTGCTGATGGTATCCGGCCAATAGATGTTGAGTGTCATGCATAGACTACTAATTATAAATATGTGTATCTTCTTGATGACGGTTGTAGTAGTTCTCCAAGTTTCAGCTACGTATAGTAAGACTATCTTGATGTTCGTATTGAAGATTCTCAATTTAATATTGGTTGACAGTTGTTTTTAGTTCTATATGTTTTTCAACTGTAGGAATGCAGCCTTTGCTTTGTCAATCGTCTCCTTTACGTCTGCATCAGATCCTCCTTGTCATCTTGAAAGACTACATTTAAGTCTTAAGCTTAAAAATCTAATCAACAAACCAATAGGTTCTTTAACATGTCGATACCCAATGTGCTTGTGAAATATTAAACCATTACGTTTACACGTGAAAATCTTTCGAATAAGAGATTTCCCCATCAAATCTAGATAAACATAGTAACTTATATTAAAATGTTTTTTTTTTATTAAAATAGAAATAATCTCTCAATACTAAACATCTTTTTATCAGTCCAAAAAAAGAAATAAATCTTTAAACTTACTCAATTTTATGAAAACTTAACGTCAATTTAACACGTTCACAGTATGGACAAAAACGAAAAGCAAATAATGTATATCTAGTTGGATCAACAGACGGTTCTGGATCACCTAAAATAATTATCATAAAAAAATCAATAGTTTTAAAAACAATCAATCTTGTATATGAATTACCTTTGTTCTTAATTATTATACCACAGAAAAATACAAATAAGATTTATTATTCGTAATGATAGAGTCAACCGTAAAATTAATAATATCATAATGGATTTTGACTTTATAATAAAGAATAATCAAAAAAAAAACATATCCTTTCCTATCAAACTCTAACGATTTATAAAATATTTGATTAAAAGTACTAGTAGATGATAGAAAACTAAATATTTCTCAAATTTGAATGGTTGAGATCATGAGCCGATTGAAGCTAGACCATCATGGAAAACCTGGAAGCACTGGACGATCGTTTAGTCTTATTGTGAGACCCCTTAGCAATGCGCATCCACGAGATTCGAACTTAGGACCTAAAAGTCTCGCGCGCGAGCACTTAACCACTAGACCACTGAGCCAGTCTAGCTTCAACTGACTCATGATCTCAACCATTCAAATTACTATAATATCCACGAAACCTCTTCTGATATTTCTCAAATTTACCAAAGAAATACAAATGTAACTTGAAAAGCACTCAAAAACGACATGATTAGATTATTTAAAAAGTGCAAAAATAGTCTTTTATGAGAAAATACTTAAATTTCTTGGTGAGTTGAAGATGAAATAGACTTTTAAATATTTTCGACGTCACTATTTAATTGAATTTTTCTTTGAGTATAATATGATTGGTTTTTGAATAAGTCCTTAAAATGGGAAAACATTTCTATTCTACATTTCAGTGGCTAGTGGTGATATGAATATATGTGATTCATAATTGAATTCCTGTTATTTGAAGCTAAGATCATCTTCACAGTTCGATATTAGTAGGATATCACTGAAGATTATGGAGCACTAGAAAGATGTTTTATATCATAACGGAGATTCTCAGAATTGTAAAACAACCACTCTAAAAGTTCATCCCCAACCATGAACATCACCAGCAAGTTGAAAAACGAATGTCTGCAGAATCCATACATCAAAACTTGAGGTAAACAAATTAGTTTGTCAATTTTCTGGTTGATTTAACCAGGTTGAGAATGATTACCAGTAAACGGACAACGGTTGATTAAGAGATAGGTTCGAAGTAAAATATACAGTACCAGCGAAGTCTCAGAGCTACTAAACTTTAACATAACTAATGAAAAGAAACGAGAACAGTCACATGTGTAATACATATAATTAAATGTACAGCACTAATCGAAATAAAAATTTAATAAATAAATGTGAGAAATGGTAATGAAAAAAAAAACAGAACCTACCATTTTTAAGATGCATCATTAATGTATGTTTTGAAAATACTTTGAAGAATGATAATGAGACGATGCGTCGAAAACGACACTAATATGTGAACACACTGAAATACAATGTTATAATATAATAGCCAATATTAGACATAAACAGAATTTCCATGTAAAAATCAAATGATCACGAAATGGCTGTCTGAATAGTGGAAATGATTTACTTTATGTAATTATCATAAATACAAATAAATATCAAAAAAGGAAGTAACATTTTGTTTAACCTGAGACTGAGAAATAAATATTACAATATTAAGACAACAAGCCGGTTGGAAACATGTACCACACAATCACAACTAATTGTTCGGCTATAAGTTGGTTACAATGAAACAATTTGTATTGCCTTTATCCTATGTTCGTTCACTGAAAATTTGTAAGCCAATGTCAGCTACAATATTTTACTGCATACTAATCAATATCATCTCTACTACCGTCGGTAATCAGGTAGAGTTGCCCCATATCAACAATGTCGGTCATAACGTAAAGCTTATTACATGTATACATCAGTTGAAGTTGCCATATCCGATTTCCAAGGCGAGATGAATTTTTCAGAACAAAATCCAACAGTAATGAGTGTAGTGAAAGTAATAGTGGTAATAGGAATCTAAAATACAATTCGAGAAAATACAAACTGACAAAATAATAAAAGGAAAAGCTCACAAGGGACTCTTAATCTTGGGATCTAAAGTAAGACAGAAAGTCAATACACGTTAGCCATTGCAAACAATTTTGAGCCATGTCATTCTAAGTGTATAATCATTGGTTACGATGACCATGGAGACGTCAACCAGGTAGTCTGCACTTATTAAAATGGCTTAGTCCAATTGTCAATGACTTCACGAACTGAAAGCATATTTTAGTTTGGCAGCCTCTAGCTTTCTTACAGCCTAGTTCTACGCCAGACATTGCTAGTCGAGGTGGGAGGTGGTTTAGTATATGTAACACATGTCACCACTTCAGTTGATGAGGATTTACTACCTCATCAATCAATAAGTTATCCCATATAAACAATTGTCTTTAAACTGGTTATTACCATACAACACAGTCGCCGTTTAGATTTCCATAATACGATAGTTTTTCTTGCGTATTTGCTAAATTGCGTGATGTGATATGTAAGAACACTTTTAACGCAACATGCAAAAATATAAAGGTTGAAGTCAAATGATTAAACTAGCGAAACGTAATTGTTAATTAAATTTATTAAACAGTAGTTACTACATAAATAACAAGAAATTATGGTACAAGTCTATTTAATGTACCTGAGACTCCTGTCGTATACGAACAACCAACAAATGCAATTCATTACCTCAACACGTGATTGAAGCTCCATCTACCAACGCGTTTAGAAGAAAGTTAAATCAACTGAGAAACCACAATAACCAGGACTAACACAGGACACCTGGCCTCCTGTCCTTTCCAAACTAAAACTGATTTGTACAAAGAAACTATAAGGCCTAGGAAGGTAATTGACGGGCAATTTGAATGACAGTATAGAACACGCAATCGTGGCAGAAGTTCAGCCACTTTTACAGATAAATTTAAATCTGGAATATTACCTTAAACATAAATACTGAAAATTGAATGTGTATGAAGAAAGGTTTGGAAGAGTTCAGTTGTGAAAAATAGGACGACAATCTAGAGATACGCGTTTGTAAGTTATTCTTTATTAATTTTTGAAGAACATTCCAACCTCCTGATTTCAGGGAAAATCTTATCAGTCTTCGGGAAATTCGGGGAGTCAGCATTAAAAATTCTTGGGCGAATGTGACAAAATCCCCAAGATGGAGACAGGCCTGCATAGCCCAAAAATTAAACTGTGAATCTCTGAAAGAACGACTACAACATTAGCCAAAAAATTAGATTGATCACTTGAAGTTTATTCCCGGATCCTTAAACTAAGGACCAGTTATTGAAGCACATGAATGGTCGATTAAGAGCAGTGACCTCAAGATGGTTTTAAGATAAAAAATCAACAAGCTCTAGATCCCACGAATTATGGACAATGTAATACTAACTAGAGTTCAAAAGCATATCAATAGATAAAACCTAAAGTCCGAAATGAGACATATACGTTTTCATAGAATCAACAACGCCACCTTGCTAAAAGCGCAGTTTTGAAACGAAAAACTATGGTTTTGATAGCATGTACCACGGTCACTATGACGTAAAGACAACGGTATACTTTCACTAGTTCTGCTTAAACATGACCAACCTATTTGCAAACCCCTCCAAAAACCAAGGTTCTATAAGTTGTCACGATGGATCTCAAGGTTATTTAACACTCAATGTATTCATTAAAAAATCTATCAGTGTCAAGCTGATGTACACCAAGTGAATTTTCTCAGCGCGCTCATTGCCATCATGCTGTAATCACGGACTGAAAAAATACACTTTCACACTTCAAATTACAATTATAGGATTGTTTTATTTGCACTTTTTGTTGTTAGTTATCGACTGATCTCAAGTGCATTATGTGTGCTTACAGAGTCTTAAGCTCTTTTTTCTGTTAATTTTTCAAATTACGGCTTCAAGTCTGTATTTCAATCTGCATAATAATATGTAACCCTAGTCGAGACATTAACCGATACTGACACAGAGGTAGCGGTAGTTAAATCCGTAAAATCACTAGCTCTATAAGTCATCGACACTTGATGCTGACCACATTAGTTTTAATGGACTCACTTAGCCGAATGCGCTCGGTCACATATCCGCATCACATCTCCAGTAACCGCTAGTCAGCTAAGATCAGTCGTTTCTCGATATATCGATAGTCAATCAATTATATCTTCGAACATATTTGCTCCTGAATTCTGATTCAACTGGGTTGACACGTTACAATTATGAGTGTCACTGGTTAAGGTGTTGTCAAACTTCAAGTACTTGTTGCGTTTCGAGTGGTCCAATCGGATATTCTAGTCACTCGTTTGTGCTAATCCTAGTGAATACAAAAGTTATTTAAATATTCAATATCTTTGTCATGAGCTTATAAAATTCGATTGGGTTTTTTGCGTACTCTTGTTGTCGACTCAGTATCAGATTTAAAGAGTTTCATTTATATCTTCTCGTTTTCTGAAGTTAACAGGCATCAGACACGGATATTTGATGGTCGTGTGGAATAACAGATGGAGTAGCCTAAACATGCTAATCATCGTAGCGGCCTATGCTATATGGTAGCCAATGCATCTGTTGCACATAGTGTTTGTGATTACCTCGACTACCACACAATAGTACATTCACTCTATTAACCACTGTGTCTGTTGGTTCCTGTAGGTTCTTTGATCTTTCAACATAATTTCATATGATTCACGGATTTTCGTGTCCAACTCAAATTTTAGAGGACTCCGAGATATCAGCGAAATTCCTTCTGTAATTTGTGCCAAATCTAAAGCTACCATGAACTGAGGGGGTGTTTTTTCTTACGTTTTGTCCCTTATACAAATAGCATAGTTTGGCTGAATTGGTAATCTTACCACAGAATTTGTCCCCCGGTTCAGTATCAAAGATTATCCTACTTCCTAATAAACTATATTCCGACATTAGGAAATCAGATCAGGGAGTTTTGTTTAACGTCTTCTTACCTCACTTACAGCGCTTTGGAGCCATGCTTTTGCCAATTCTCTTATCAACGATCACCCATTGCTTTATACTGTTATCAGATAATGTTGTATGAATAACAGACGGCAACTTCGTCGTTATGCGAGCTCGAGTTGTGGCTCTTATAATCACGCGTTTTGCTAGGGCTTTGTCGAACAAATTTGGTGTACTGGAGGTGATGGTTGCAATTACTTCTAATGCGGTTTTATTCATTTTTTCCATATGTATCAGGACCGTTATTTATTTCAAAGTAAGGAGGGATAGGCACGTTTGGAATATATTTAACAAGGATTCAAGAGTTCGCATACTTAGCTGTCTTCAAACAAGGTGGTGAATGACATAGGCCTCGGCTGCATTTCCTCGATGGTCGTTTCTACTAACCATGATTTCAGTTTACATCAGATTCTAGGGGGTGACAAACTTGGGCAAAATATGTTGCCTGACGCATCATAGTAACTCGGAATACCGTTGGCCAATCCTAGGAACTGACTGTCGATTTGTTCTCTTGAGCTAGTACTAAGTCTTTTAACAGCTCTTGTGAACTTCATTCACACCTGGTGGCTCTTAACAGTTTAATACTGTCCTCGAAGATGAGAGTTAGAAAACTAAGATTTTCTGAGAGATCGTTGATGAGCATGGAGAAGAACATAGAATTCAATACGCTGTTTGGAAAACTAAAAATGTGGACCTTCTGGACTTTGTTCACACTTCAATATTTATTGGTTAAAATGCTTGATCCTGCACGTGGTTCATTATCGAGGGATCTGATAAACTTATTCTCTCGAGTTTATCTAGTTGGAAAGACTACGGTATGACAAAAGTGCCGAGATTAGGATGGGTACCTTTCGATTACAGCAATCTATCCACCTGTCTCTGCTCTAACGGGAGGGTGTAACACAAGCACTACACTCCCTAGAGCCACTCTGTACCTCAAGAAAGAGTTAATGGGCTTCTTTACTACGCCGTCCAGTAAAATTTTTAATACAATCAACAGCATTTAAGGCAGTGTCCCAGTCGTATTAGAGCTCTTTGTGCATGAATCGCCAAATTTCCTTGTTATCTCAATAATGTATTTTTTATATTGTATAATGAATGAGTTCATTCTTTACCCTGGAAACTAGTGCTCTTATCAGACAGAAATGAAAACCTGATTTCCTAAGACATGCATCTAGCTGTCAAGTTACTGTTTTTAATTATAAGTAAAATTCTGTACAGTAAATTTATCTAATCATATGTTACGCTATTTGTATTCTAAGGGATAGTGAATATGGATTAGTTTCATCGCATATTCCTGAGAACCAGGACCATTGTGAACTTAGGCAGATGTGTCACTTATCATTGATCGCTAAATCTCAAAAATAAGAGAGAAGACTGTAGAAACTTGAA